GGAATGGCAGTGATTCAGTCAGTGTGTGAGTTTTAACAAGACCACATGGTTACACACACAGAGGGAGGCGGAGTTAGCAGACTCCTGACCTTGATATCATGCTCCAGGCTCCTAACCAGCTCCCCGTCCACCTGTCCCGTCTGAGCCACTCGGATGCTGCGGCGCTCGGCTTTGCGGAGGCGGTACTGCAGGATGCGACACATCTTGTTGGCCTGCTCCAGCTGCAGCCGCAGCTCCTGCAGCTGGTACACCTCCTCCTCCTGGAACATGTCACGCATTTCCAGCATCTCACAACGGAGCTCCTCCACCTCATCCTGAGACAGACGACACAGAAATACAGCTATTAAGACCAAAAAATCAGTTTGGGTTTGAGACCTATAGTTTTCAAGAAAAAGGCTGCGCTACAAACTGGAGCTGTGTAGTGTGAAAGAAGTGGGCATTTAGGAGGCAAGAGGGGTCTAGTTCTGTGCTTATGACACATCAGGAGGTATTCTAATAATCAGCCAAAATAAAAGTTTCCAGAAATTCAAGTTGTAATGGTGACAACTCCAATGGATCTGTCTTGGAACTTAATAATATGGAAGTGCCACCGAGAAACCAAGAACACGTGGATGCTACACATCAACCAAAGACCATTGTTCAAAATAATTAAAGTCAAATCTACTGGATATAGTGTTATATTCTAAATAGACAGTGTTTTAATGCTCACATGACCAACTCTGTATCAAGGGGCAACCTCGGAGGCTGAAAAATGAAGCCAATGCAGAAGTGCCAAAAACTGCAGTTCCTCGAATGAACACTTGAGGCTGGCTGCAGAAGTGAGTCAATCCACATCGACTCTCATGTTAAAATGAACAACTTTACAGCAGAAAAACATGTTTACAGGCTGGTACAAAACACAATTTTGGTCTATACAGCTAGTTTCCCCTTTCATGACAGCTGTACTGGGGGTAAAAAAATTTTAATATAAATTTTTTATTAAGGCTTAAAGTTATACATTGATTAAGGGTGTGGCCACTTTGAGTGACAGGTGGGTGCATCACAGTTGGCTAGCCACTAGCTGTCGCCTCAGCTACTTCAAGTCGCTGAACCTCTCCGCTGTTTGTAATGTTGGTGCCTTTCAAAGGATTTTTCATAAAAATTTCAGACAAATAATATTGTTTCTTGTTCAGTTACTTGACTAACAGAACGTGAAGAAGTCTGTGCTCCTGTTTTCTGAGCAGAATTAAATTCTAGTATTATTCTATTTACATATTACCACTAATTAGCAAGTATCAATGTGTGCGCTCACCTTACCTGGCTTGTTAGCTTAGCACGTTAACTAGCTATTTAGCCAGCAAATTAATTAGCGTTAGGTTAGCCTTTGAGCAAGATGCCCGAGCCCCAGCTGTATTAACGATGCTGACGGGAGCCAGTGCTTGCCACAGTTGTTAAACCTGCAAGCACATAAGTCTCAGCTCCACATGCCTCACCTCATTGCCCAATTTTGGATTAGCCAGTAGTTATGCGAGTCAGGCGCTGCCAAGATGGCGACAGGGAGCAGCCCACTCTGACCTGTTGAAAACAGCTCTTCAGAAAGCTATGGGTGATATCATGGAAGCTATGTCCATCTTTGTGTACAGTGTATGCCGTGAAGACATTTCTCACTTGTCTTAGACTTAACAAACCAAACAACAAATGGATTGATCAAGAAAATCATCAGCATATCAATCCATTATGAAAAGAATCACTGGCTGCAGCTCCAGAGTTAAAATCTATCTCAACCAACTTCAACAGGAAAATGCTGCTTAAATATTAACGTGTGAGTTGTAGCCTAATAATGCAATTACATAAAACAATACACAGGGGCCATTTCCCTGCATTGAGTAGCCTACTTTTAAGAACATTTTCCTCATAATGCTTACAAAACAACACGTTTTGAATGCTGTACATTTGCTAGTAATTAAGTATTTTTATAGCCCAGTGTGGTATTGATACTTTTACTTGAGTAAAGGACATGAATACTTGATCCATTGCCTATTTATAAAGCATGTCATACACGAAATGAAAGGCACAGCAGTCTGCATCACTCACAGTACCATAGTACCTACAGACACAAAATTACTGCTCAAATAAATGGCAACAAACGGATGAAGGAGCAAGTCACTGTTTTACTCATTTCTACCTTTGAATTGCACAAATTAAAAGTGTCCGTAAATAATGACTTCTTAGAAATTATTTGATTTGCAACCAGAACTAATGACTGGCTGTTTTGTTTGACCTGGTTTTCCAGAGATTTCCTTTGTAATGTCTCTACCAATAAGCAGTTTTGTTATAGAAATTGACTGATGATACCACGTTATTTAAGTCAGCAGAGACTCTTGACTTTTGATGAGAGCTTCCCTTCACTCATCCTGCAGTCACTAATGAAGACTGACATGAGCATTTGGGCTACAGAAAATCGGCTCTGGTGTCCAGAGTCTGGAGGGCCTCTCATTGGGACTGGCATGCTCTTATAGATCTTATAAAGCCATCTTAGAGATATGTGGAAATTTATTGCAAGACAGGATATCATGCAAACCTAATTAAAATCGCAAACTCAATTAAACAAATTGAATCAAGTAGCCTACAATTAAATTAAACTTACTTTCAGATACTCGTTCTCTGATCTCAAATCTTCCACCTCCCTGACAAGATCCTCGGTTGTCTCCCCCATCATAAGCTCCATGAACGTCCCTGAGGAGTTAAACAAACCGAGGGTCGCTGCAGTCGCATCAGGCTGGAGAACGCAGCTATCTCTGGCCGCCTTTGCGCACGGTTTGCCGTCAGCTTTCTCCTCGCTGTCCGGGTTCACATAAGCTCTGCCGTCTATCCAGCTTAATTCATTGTCGCTACTTGGAGAGTCGTGCTTGTTGCCCTCCGAGGGGCAGTCGGATATTTCTGAGCTGCTGTCGGAGGAGGAGAGTTTCCCAGAGAGGCAGCCGGAGTCTTTGCTCAGGTCCTCTGATGCGTTGCTGGCATCGGATAGTTTCCTCTGCGCGCCGGGACTCCTCTGGCATTCTGCGGTGGCACTGGATGACACTTTCCCCGAACGCTTTCCCTGTAATCCGGCAATTTTCACCTCCTTCTCTGAGTCTGACTGACCTGACTGTGCCTCTTTGGAGTAGGGGCCACTTTGAGCATCTTTAGAAGTCGGATCCTTCTTCTTCTTCTGGACAGAAACTTGCTGGTGCGTCCTGGGTGGTTTCTGGCTCCGGAGCGCAGTCTTTGCGCTCTTGTCTCCGTCTCTGTTCATCCCGACTTTTTCCCGTGACTCTTTCTCTTATGTTTTCAGGTGGAAAAAAGTAGGCATGCAGTTTTTTTATTCAAGATGATCATGATTTATTCACAAATAAAATAAGTCTTAAGTCCGCACTTTACAGCTCAATGTCGTTAGAGATCCGACTGGCTGCTCCACATCCTGAAGACTGAAACTTTGGCATAATGCAGACCGAGGGCAGACAGTGACCAGTGTCTGACTTACGCAGTTTAATGATTTCCGGTGATCACTTCCAAAATAAAGGCCTGCCATCCACCCTTGATGAAAACGCTCTGATTTCTTGTTTATTTGACCAAAGTTAAATATTCATTTTATGCTTTCATTTTTTTTCCACACATCATCTATCTTGATAAGGACACACTTTTTTTGTTTACACTAGTTGCTTCCTACTATGGCTCAATGGTCGAGGAGGCACATAGTGCTAATAAGATTTTATTTCAAAAACTCGCTTTTCCCGGACTTACTGTGACTCATTAATTGACTTTGAAGCAGTTGAGTCAATGTTGCGGCCATCCAGCTTCCACTCTCTGCTGTGCAAATCTGATACACAGTTAAACTTACCATTTATCCTTCGAGTATTCAACTATTATTCATTTATTTACCAATTTTAATAAAATAATTATTTGACTTTAAGAGTCAAAACCTTTATGCTCCCTGTAGATTAATAGATTCTGAAGACAACATATTCAAAATTCACACAAAATGTCCCTTTGATGGGATTCATCTTGGGTTTAAGATTTATTTACTGCAGTATTTCAAACTGAATTTTGAAATAAATGTCCAAATTTTGAGTTAATTTTAGCGTTGACTGATCATAGGTATGAAGCTGCCACCTTGTGGATTACTTGAGCTGTATTCAGCATTAATTTGTGGGCAGAAATACAGGGAGCGGTTTACCTCGACCCACTTAAGCTTTTACATACGAAATATATGAAATGTTATCAAATAAGACGCTTTGTTAAAAAAAACTATAAACTCCTCAATTATGTGAGTATTTGCAACTCTGCATCTGAAACAATTGCTGAAACAGTTGACAGAAAAATAACTATTTTGATCATCTCGTTAAGTAATTTTTCATGCAAAGTAACATTTAAAGTAGGCCTATAACTACCTCAAAACTTAAGTAGGCTACACTACCTGAGTAAATGTCCACCACTGGTCATGTCCTCCCAGCCTATATTAATGTCCTGTGTGGCTTTTTAAATGTCATATTATTGAATCTTTGTTGAAAATAGCTGCTGGACTCAACATCTGGATGATATGTATGGTTTAAGGGACAAATTAAAAGGGCCATTACAACTTATTAAAACTGTGAAAACCACACTTCAATGTACTCCTCAAAAAAGCCTCAATTTTTAAATTAAGAGGAAAATTGAGAGCTAGCTATATATATATATATTTTTTTTTTTATCTAATGTGGCATAAGGTACAAATTAAGAGGTACATGTAATTTTTTGTAAATTTTAAGGGGGTTCTGCCCTTCAAAACCCCTTAAACTTAAACCCGTCAAACCATACTTCCTTTATTTGAGGAGTCAGGTCCTCCCAGACTATGTTAAACTCCTCAGTGGCCTTGTTTAATGTCACATTATTGAATCTGTGTTGAAAATAGCTGCTGGACTCAACATCTGTTCTTTACCTTCTATTTCTAGACGGCTACTGGCTGCGATTTGATTGGCTGAAGGAGTTGTCAATCAGGGTGTCCTTGCCGCCCACTTCCGCCCAGCTTCAGAGGCAGTGCACTCTTCGATTGTTTATGTCACTAGCGCTTTAATTTGACCTTAATTCACAGGTACATTTAATTGGATTGTGTTTAAATCTTCGTGTGTGTGCTGGTATGTGTTTGTCAGTGTCTGTGCTGATAACGTTAGTTAATCTCTGCTGTCCACTCTCCAGCTGACGTTTTAACTCAGTGCAGCAGCGATGCTAACGGCTAGTTAGCTAGTCAGATAGCTAACTAACAGCTCCGGGAAACGATTTACTGACAGCTGTTATTTTATTCATAGCATGATCTAGAAAATGTTTGGCTTTGACGACCACTGCCAGCTGCCCTGCTCGGTGTAACGAGCTGTCCGTGTTGCAGGTAGTGTGTTTGGCTGTCTGTGATGCTTGGAGAGAGGCTGGGCTGCAGGGACAGGCCGATGGTGGAAACATGGCTTCTGAGTAACGCTTAGTTACTTTTTCTGCTCAGTATGAACAGCGAGGAGGAGTTTTACGACGCTGAGACAGGTGAGACGGACTGACAGGGGTCTGTAGTTAAACATATTTACTTATCGTGTCTAAAAATGAATGAACCGCGTCTTTACTTTCTTCACCCCCTCCCCCTCCTTTTGCCCCCAACAGGGCTGGAGTCAGATGATTCCTGTGAGGTCAGTTTTAAAGATGCCCTGGTGTTTGACAGCAAGCAGGTGACCGACGGCAGCACCACACAGGAGAATGGAGTGTGGGAGCGCAGGTGAGGAATGTATAGAAGTCTGGTATGCATGTATGCACTGTTGTATTCGGATAAATTACATCTTTTGTTGTAATTTTAAGCGAAAAGAAGTAAATACGACCCCTGCAGCAAACATTACAGCATTACAATTGAGCCTTTCTTCAGATCTTAATGCACCGTTACTGCTTGTGAAACACTCAGATTATCATTAACTCATTTGGCCTTAATTGACTTGTTATGACTTGTAAGGCATGTCAAGAATTGTCATTAGAAGTTGTCAGCCAATAATAAATTCTCCTTGAAGAAACTGACTGAGGATCTGAAAATGATGCCTAACTGGAGGCTATAACTAAGATGTCAGTGCTTCCAGTTTGAAATTTCAACTGTCCGAATTGTCAGTAAGAAATGACAGCTATGGATCTCAAAGATAAGATCTGAAAGATCATGACATTTTTCAGATAAAACGGCACAACCGCAGAGAAGAAAGGTAAACCCATCCTATGACAGCAAAGGATGTGAAAGGAAAAATGCTCCACTGTGCAGCGTTGATGCACAAACATGATACATGGAAGAATCTTCAGAAGGAAGCCTTACCTGCGAGCTCATCACAAAGTACCTCTGAAATATACAGAGCAACTTCTGGATAATCCAGAGTTGTTTTAGAAATATGTGCTGTGCACAGAAGATGTTAAAATTGAGCTCTAAGGCCACAATCACCAAAGGTGTGTATGGAGGAAAAAAGGGAGTGACGTTTGAGGAAAAGAACAATTTGCCATCTGTTAAGCATGTGAGCGGAAATATTCTGCTTTGGGGTTGAGCCAGTGGCACAGGAAACATTGCACAGATACATGGAAGAATGGATTCCACTATATATCAGCAAACTCTGGATCCAAATTGAAACTGTAAAGAGCCTTGCCTCTCCAACAGGATGATGATCCAAAGTAAAACTCAAAATCCAACATGACCTACTTCAAGAGACACGAGCTGAAGATTGTGGGACAGCTCTCTCAGTCCCCTCACATGAGCATCATTGAAAGACATAAGATTCTCAGTCATCCGAGTCATTGTATCTCTTAGCTTTACGTAGGCAACTACACTTGTTTGAGGTTCCTCTCATATGAAAGGCTTCTTCAGGTGCAGCTGGCTAGTGGGGATCCCACAAGAAGTTAAATGCTTGGAACTGGAGGTGAAACGTCTACAAGAACCTCAAGCAAGTCCAGCTGCACTCCTAAAGCTCTGAGAGATCATTGGAAATCCGTGTGTAGATCTTAAAACATTCTGCGTGTGCAAGACAGCCTAAAAAGATCTTATAACTTCAAGTGATCTGCAGGAAGAGTGGCTGAACAACTATATAACGAAAAGACTGTAAGCTTCCTGTAAGTAGTGCCAAAGGGGAGGTTACTAAACTGACTTGGTGTGGTGCTCAAACTTTTTTTAGGTTTATGAACTAAAAAAGTAACGGTTCATTAACATTTGAAGAAATGCTCATTTTCTGCAGTGGGGTTGTTTCTTTTTTTCTTCAAAAATCAACAAAATACCTAATTTGCACACGTTTGGCCAAACTATTGTTACCTCCCGCCAGCCGTAGGCTCTGACCCGTAGTTGGGAGCGCTTGGGTTATTTAGCTTGGCTCGTTACTTAGCTGCTAACTAGCTCTCAGTCCGGACCACTCTGCTGAACAATGACCAGGCCTTGCAATCACGTTAAAGTGCTTTGTTCCCATACGGGCAGCGAACACAACTCCCGGCCTTTCAACACTGCCACGCCGTTATCCTGAACTTATCTAGACACTTCTTTCTGACTACCTGTAGCATGTAGCTTCTCCGGCTGCACGGCACGCGGCTCAGTCTCACTCGACGACACAAACTCACACGACAGATCTCTACTTCCCAGAACACCTCAATCACTACGTCACACACACAGGTTATCCACAAGGTCCCGCCCTTGAAGGGGAAGGCTGGGCTGGTAACACCGGTGACTACAGATGCATGTATGTGTGTATTTATGTATGCGTGTTACTACATGACCACATTAGAGTTTGGGTTCAGGATTTGAGGGTTTCATCATGCATGCACTCACACGTGGAGGCAGAAAAGGCAGTGTAACCACATTTTTATGATGTTAGCTAGTGAGCACCTCCTCTGCCAAGCATGTCAGTGTAGCTACAGTCATCAGTTGTATTATTGACCAACCATTAAGAGCCAGCTGTTAACAGATACACTGTCAAAGGTTTTGTCTGATTTTGCAAGATCTTTACAATCTTATTTGGTCCAAATGTGTTCCAGGAAAACCCTGCCTGCTGAAATGATCTCCAGAAACAATTTCAGTGTGTGGAGTATACTGAAGAAATGCATCGGCATGGTGAGTCCCTAACACAAGTATGAGAATAGAAAGCTCAGGTTCAGGTACTCTGGCAGTTTAATCTGATTTTCTGACATCAACTTTGCTACGAACAAGCAGTATCCAGGTTCTGGGGTGGTGTAGCATGCTTTTTTTTAAATAATTGAGTACTTTACATACTTCAGCTTTCAACTCGCCTCTACAAAATGAGTCTTGACTGAACTCGCTGTTCTTTCCAATGCTCAGATGGCTATAATTGGTTTGGGAAATGCACTCTTTGCAGCCACCTGAAAGAACTAAAATAACTTGAATGAACACCTGCATACACTCAATGCAGAAGTCATGGTTTTGTCATTCCCACGGTTGAAAGAGAGTGCATTTTTGTTGCTTAGAAGTTAAATAATATGATGCATGAGCTTGTTTGAGTAAAGTATTTTGTACAACAGTGCTGTTTTACTCTTTGAATCCAGTATATGATTTTATTTTTTTTATTTTTGTTGGGGTGTTATAGGAGCTGTCCAAAATAGCCATGCCAGTTGTGTTTAATGAGCCGCTGAGCTTTCTCCAGAGGATCTCAGAGTACATGGAACACACTCACCTTATCCACCAAGCCTGCAGTTTATCAGACTCCATAGACCGCATGCAGGTAGAGATAACAGATGACTCTGATGTTGTGTATTTGTTAAATATTATATTACAATGTTAACATAACAGTTTATTTGAGTTGATTTAGAAATTCATTTTCTGTCAATTGATAAATCAAGTAATCATTGCAGGTCTACTCTGCTCCACTTCATGTCTCTGTGACAGGTTGTTGCGGCATTTGCTGTTTCAGCTGTAGCATCTCAATGGGAAAGGACTGGAAAGCCATTTAATCCTTTACTGGGGGAGACATTTGAACTCATAAGGTATTAGTCAAGACTGTTGGCAAAAGCCTGTGGAAACTTGAAACTGCATAGTACAGTTTCGCCTTGATGATAGCGTTTTTACTTTCATTTATGAGAGTTTTTAAATGTTTTTTAAGGGAGGATGACGGATACAGATTGATCTCGGAGCAGGTGAGCCACCACCCCCCTATCAGTGCCTTCCATGCTCAGTCTCTGAAGCAAGAGTTTGAGTTTCATGGCTCCATCTACCCGAAACTCAAGTTCTGGGGCAAAAGTGTGGAGGCTGAGCCCAAAGGCACCATGACACTGGAGTTACTGAAGTAAGTATTTATGTCACTTATCTGTGTGGATTTTCTGCATGCCGGTACTCGTTGTTGTTGTTGTTGTTGTTGTTGTTGTGCTTTCATATAATTGTTTTAATGATTTGTTCATACTCGATGTCTGCATGTGGCAATACTTTGAATGTTCTTGGCTTTTCCTGAAATTTCAGTTTTGCTTTCTTGCTTGCTTGATTTTGCATGAAAAAGTGAAAGTTAAAACAGCCATGACATCGATATAGCCAAACAATATTTAAAGGAGTAGTTCCACATTACAGCAAAGGCACTTTATCGGTTTCTTAGCAAGAGTTAGATGAGAAGATCGATACCACTCCTGTATGTGTCTGATAAATATGAAGCTACAGCCAGCAGCTGGTTACCTTAGCTTAGCACAAAGACTAGAAACGGGGGGAAACAACTAGCCTGTTTCAGTTCAAAGGTAAAAAAAAAAAAAAAAAATCCACCTTCCAGCACCTCTAACACTCAGTAATTAACAAACACACTGTAGTGTGGAACTATTCGTTGAAGAAGCTGTGATTTTCTTACAGACATAAAGAAGCGTACACGTGGACAAATCCGTTGTGCTGTGTACATAACATCATCCTGGGGAAACTCTGGATTGAGCAGTATGGAACTGTGGAGATAGTCAACCACAGGTACAATGACAAATACTGCATTGCAAGATTTAAACTGTCCACCAGTGCTTACTGATTGATATACATATTTCCTTCATTTATTTCCTCAGCACGGGGGATAAGTGTGTGTTAAACTTCAAACCATGTGGGATGTTTGGGAAAGAGCTGCACAAAGTAGAAGGTTATATTCAAGACAAAAGGTAAGAGCGTAACCATAACAACACTGTGAATAGCCAGTGGCTGTGATTTAATTTTCTCCAAGGTGAATTTTCTGTCTCTGCTGTGGAACCAGTAAGAAGAAGCGGCGAGTGATCTATGGGAAGTGGACAGAGTGCATGTACAGCGTGGACCCCAAGGTTTATGAAACATACAAGAAGTCAGACAAGAAGACGGGAGGAGACTTGAAAAAGCCCAAACAGGTGAGTGACGCTCTAATTTGACTAGAAACTGATGAACCAACATCTGACATCTAACCTTCCACTGAGATGAAATGCTGCTTAGAGTCTGTTCTCACGCTTGTCTTTGACTTGTTTTATCTGTCTTACAACGTGAAGTAATCTGTGAATTTTACTCATCACTCTAAAATGTTTTTCTCAAACGGTATCTTTTCCTTTCACAATAACATGCAGTGGCTTTAGTAGAAGGTAAGGTAAAAGTGTATTTGATATCTGTAGTGTGCTACTGCTGTTGTCTAGTTCCAGTTATGTTCAAAGTGCAGTGTATGATTAGATCATTGCCAGCACTAATCCATAATGTCTTGCAATGACATGCATTGTTGCTTGAGAGACGTGTTGAATTTGTGGCAACTGTATTTCTGTGAATCACCTGTTTGCACATGTACTCTACGTACTGTAAGCTTTAGCTAGTTGGTCCATGTCTGATGATAATGTTATTATTTATCTGGTTGGATCTGTGTGTGTGTGTGTGTGTGTGTGTAGGAACAGAGTTGTGAAGGTGAGGAAGCAGATGAGATGCCAGAAGTTCAAGAGACTGTGACTGTGATACCAGGAAGTGCCTTACTGTGGAGGATAACGCCGCGGCCTACTCACTCAGCACAGGTCAGTGTCTCACACACACACACACACACACACCATAGCTGTGTCTCAATTCAGGGGCCACATCCCTCAGAGGACGCAGTCTAAGGAGGTGTGGCCTTTGCAGTTGCCCTAGACCGCAAAGGCTGAATCGAAATAAGTCTGGCCCGCGAAGGATCTCCACTTCGCTTCACCAGCTGTACCTGCCCTTATCGTTGTGTTGCAGCTCCTGTTGCCTAGCAACCTTAAGAACATGTAACATTTTTTTTTAAAAATTGAAATTTTAAGGCCCTTGGTTTTTTTTTTTTTGGTTTTTTTTTAACAGTATTACCGCCAGCTGTTCAACTGAGCTGAGACCCTATACTTTAAAATATTATTTTCGTTACTTCATTACTTAACCTCTGCTGTGTTCCCTCCTGCGTTTCCTTTGTAGATGTATAACTTCACCAGCTTTGCCATGACACTAAATGAGCTGGAGCCCGGTATGGATAGACTGATGGCACCGACAGACTGCCGGCTGAGGCCCGACATCAGAGCCATGGAAAATGGAGACATAGGTAACCCCAGCCTCACATAAACGCGACCTCTATAAATGCTGAGACAAGCTGAAACTATTCCGTCCTCACATCACTGCACTACTGGAACCCTGACGTGATGCTGTAATGGCTTCTTCATTATTTTTGTGTTTTATAGAGACGGCAAGTACAGAGAAGGAGCGGTTAGAGGAGAAACAAAGGGCCGCACGCCGGGAACGCTCCATGGATGAGGAGGACTGGTCAACCAGGTGTGTGTGAGTTATAAATCTGTAACTTTACATGGTGTATTCTCAGGAGGTTGCAGCTGGAGCCCCTCTCAGACATGCACCTCGTTATGTAAATGTGATGGTAACTTAACTTGTCGGTCTCTTGTTGGAATAACACCCAAGTCCCTTCCGCGTAAAAGTCACAACTGCAATCTTAAGATGTAAGACGTATAGTAGTAACATTTCCACATCACTGGTCTGAATTGGATGCAGTCAGATTAATTTAAAGTGATAATCTGGGGGGTTGTGTGAGGTACAGTCAGTTTATTACCTGCAGTAGACTCAGAATGGCGCCCTCGCAGTTCAGAGAAACATCAGGGAGCAGCAGCACAGAAGCTGAGTGATGCACTGCTGTGGACGAGGCCATCCCCAAAAACGTGTTTTTTGCCACCAAAAAAGGGTGTATAAAAAGAAAATTCAGTTTTATCAGGGTCTGAACAGACTCTGTGGACACTGAAGATTATCTGTCTAGATGATCAGGTCTGACAGCTTGGTAAACAGGAAGTTTACCAAGGGAGGCTTTAAAGATAGAAATGTACATGTGAATCTCTCTTTGTATTTTAAATTTCTTAAAATGAAAGTAAAACCTGATTTAGGTTTCACTTTCTTCACAAGGTTGTTAATGTGAGTATGGAGAGACAATTTGTCATTCAGACATAATCTAAGATATTTGTATGCAGAGACTTTTTTTTAATGCAATTCCTTCTGCAGTTTTAAGACTGATGTTATCTACACCTTTTGTACAGAATGTAAATAGATCCTGGAGAAAGTCATCAATCTGTTTTTGTGTGTGTCATTTTGTGATTCATTTTAACTGGTAAAATGATGACACGAGTGTGTGAAATGCGGTTTGCAAGCCAGCAGTCGCCTCATTTAACCAAGGAGCGACTCTTTATTTCACTGTGTCATCTGCTCACAGATCAATCTTTGCTGGCTGCATGCTCTCCCCAGTATTGTTTATAAAGACAGAAAACAAGACGGGTGTCAATAAAGCCTTGTGGTGTTATCCCTTCCTCTGGTGAAAGAAATGGCAAATATTGCACAAGCCTCATTGCTGTTTGCGTAAAGGTTTGTCACATCCGAGTAAAGCCAAAGGAAAATGTCATCATTTGAACAGACTGCTGAAACCAGCAACATGATATATTCCATGTCTCAAAAGAGCTAATGAGTGTCTCCCAATTTACTGGAATTCAGCCATTGTACATGAAATATAATTTCAAAAAATATAAAAAAAATAATTAGAAAAAACTCCCACTTTGAATTCAACTAAATGCAGAAAATGCTCCACACATTATAATTGAAACATGTTCCCACAACTGCACATTGCTCCTGTTATGCAACGTTTTCCCTTAACCCTGTCATTAAAAACAGGTCTCACTTGTCTTCTGTCTCCTCAGGTGGTTCCAGCTGGGAACAAACCCCCACACAGGAGCTGAGGATTGGCTGTACACAGGTGGATACTTTGACAGGAATTACACTGACTGTCCCAACATTTATTGACACAGGAGGTGCTCAGTGTGAAGATCTCCTCACTGATAGGATTTACTTTGTTTCTCTCAGCATCTAAGATTTTGTGTCTTTGTGACATCCAGACGCTCAGTGGTACTGTGTCTTTGTTTGAATCAATGAAAAGCTGATATCAAAAATGTGATCAGACAGTTTATCAGATTATCTGCAATTGACTGTGAACGCTGTCCACAGGAAAAGAAAAAAAAAATATTAAGGAGAATTTTAGAGTTTACTTACTGTAAATGTTGAGCATCAAACATCTTCATCTTTATACTCCCTAGTCATGTTCTGATGTTGATAATAATCCACATGTATGTAACTCACCTGTTGAGGATTTTAAACCAGTCACCTGTGTGATCCCTGTGGTGCTGCTGCAGGACACAAAGCTCAGACTTCTAAAGGATATATTTTCAGGTTTAGTTCAGGTACTCAACCATAGCCTCACCTGTAGACACTCCACACACTTCTGTCAAGTTGCATTCAGATATCAGGGGTTATTTAAACACATCTGCTACTTTTATATATAACCTATTTGAATATTAGATGTCTATTTTAGTTAGCACTAAACGTCTCTAAAACATCACAAGTGTGATAATTTTCTGTGAATAGAGACATACAGTAGAAACAAAAGCTGCTTACAACCATGTTTACTGCCACAGTAAACAGAAATTGTTGGTGCATTATGTTGTTGTCCGCTGTAACATAGTTAATGTGTATAATAACTGGTGCATGCATGGTCACCAAAATGATTATTTACACACTTTAAAGCCATAAAAACAACTTCTTCTGCACTGAGTATAGTAGGATACTGTAATAATGTATTCACATAAAACTTTAAAGCAAAGGCATACAGAGCGTATTGGTTTAAAGCAGGGGTTTTCAAAGTCCGACACTGTGGGCTCCACCACCTGACAATTGTTGATCTTTTTGTCTAGATGTTCACAGGGTCTCAATGCAGTCAATACCTGCAGATGAATGGATAGAGGAGAGTATCCGTGTTCCCAGAATATAAAAACCACATTGATGGGACGTTCTGAGCCTCAGTACTGTCGAAAAATATCAAGACTGCGACGTGAAAAATTTCATATTAATGGATTTTGTAACCCCTATTATAATTCTTTGTCTTAGTTAGATTTGGGGGCATTATCTTGCTCTACGCTTTGGACATTACAGCTCTAATGAAATGAGCTGTAATGATACGATATGAGAGCTGTAAATAACACAAAATATAATGTTGCCAAGGAAACAGTTAGTTACCTGTAGCCTACAACTTGAGCACCATTTTTTTGTTTACATTTGGCAAATTGGCCTCATTAAATTTATGCTGAATTACATACTAACAGTTCCTTTTCGCAATTTACCCATGGATGTACAAACACCTATCAATGGTTTAGTTTGATATGGAAGAACACTTAAAAAATGTGATGATTCTGAGGCAAGTTCTGGGGTTATGATTCTGTCATTTCTAATCTGACTTTTGGATGTTTATTCAAAATTGAAGAAATGATACATAGAAATGATATTCTGGGGAAGTGTCAGATCAGATTTGACTGCGTCCCTTTGTGGAGGTGCACTTTGAAAATCTCTGGTTTAAATAGAAAGCTGTGTCATATTGACTCCTGATTAAAGCTACTGTCTTCACATGTGGACAAGTAACTCTGACTGTTTCCAGAGTATCCAGTTTGAATTCCTTGGTCATTTTTCAATAAATCAAAGCTGTGTTTTTGGATACAGCAGGAACGAATAAGACAGGACACTGAAGGCACCATGAACCTATGCAAACTGATCCATCCAGTCTGCCCTCCTGAAATGTGAAAAATAAAACAAAACACTTAATTTTTCTTTAGCTAGTAGCCAATGTGTGCTTCAGACACTGCAGAGGCAGCGGCTAATGAATGTTGTGCTGATGATATGATGCTCACATACAAACTGTACAGCCGTGTGGTTATTAGACAGTGTAGAGATGTTCCTTCTTGTTTCTGAGCACTAACCTTGCATTAAACTGCACATTTGACGGCTCACAGTCCTATGCACATATTGTATAGTGAAATGTCCAACATCACGTCTTCCCCCAGCTGCTCTCAACTTTACTCTGAATTCAAAGCACTTTGTGACGCCTGCAGACACCTAAAGGTGCAGGTTCAGTCTGATGGTTCCTTTGATCTCATACTCTTTACGCCCTTCTCTGTCTGTCTAGCATCCATTTGAAAATGTTTACATTGTATGTTCATTGATCTGTTTTTCTCCTCCTCATACTGTTATCCACACATAACCATATGCATACAAGGTATATTTAAGAAATAAATTATGGACTATTGAAATTACAGCCATGTCACTGTTTGAATAATCAGATTTTTTAGTATCAGTTCTACACTTTGACATCAGTGTGTTTTTATACCAGTGATTCCCAACCAAGTCTTTACAAGATCATTTATAGGATAGGAAAGACAAACTATTTTTCTGCTACACAACATAATGTATTTTTTCTGACTTTTCAGGCCTCTAAAAATATTAAAAAGAAACTGAGAAGGACAAACTACTCTGATTATTGACATAATGCAACATATGACAAGCAGTCACAAGTAGACAAGTATTTTCATTGTTGATTCATTATTTTTGGGCATTTCTCAACTTTTTGTTTTTTGACATTTTATAAACAAATGATTTAATCTATTAATTGAAATGATAGAATCTTTAGAGGATAAAGCTGGAGTTTTTCTTTATTCTATTATGAACAAATCCCATAAAAAAACAAAACCAACAATGTTAATCCATCTTGGAACTTCTTGAGACAAAAAGTTACAAAGATATAATTTAATTTTTAAACAGGCTGAATAATTTCCTACAACAGATTGAAAATGTAGTATTTAAACATCACTAATAAAAGAGTAAATAATGCATTTGCTGTGAACTAATTTTGGCAGCAGATTTGGTGCGATGTTGAGTATTTATGGCATCAGGACTATGTATGTGGGATTGACCTAAAATAAAACACAGTCTGTGTGTTCCTTGTAACCAATGTACATGTTACCCAGTGCAGCAGTGTGGTTTATGTGTTAATTTTACAATTAATTTCAAAGGAATAAGATCTATCATGCTTTGAACAGCTGCTCAAGCAATAGTTGTTAGTGAGATCATTACATGGTTGTTAAATACACAATATTATCACAGTTATCCTTTAAGCCTGGTCCTACTTTATTACTTGAACTTGCAGTCCACACTTGAATGGAAAAGCCCCCGTGGACCACAAAGAAACACAAACTACTACCAAGACACAGAACTATTACAGAGAGGCACAAAACTGCCATCAAGACACAAAACAGCTGAAAAGAGGCACTCAACTACACAGAGGAAAAAACAGTTAATACAGACATGAAATTACCACAAAGAGGAAAAAACTGTCTTAACAGATACAAAATGAGACAAGACGACTGAAATGAGAAGCAAAACAACTACAAGATGTTGCAAAGGGACCAATGCAGCCCCTTTTTGTGTCTCCTTCAGTCTAGGTGTCTTGTTCCAATAAGAAAGACTTAACATGTCTCATCATCCATCCATGCTTCATTTTTGATACAAAGCACCTGTTTTGTTTTTTGGTGTTTTTTTGTTTTCGAGTAGATTTGATTTATTAGCTCTTTACAATTTCATCAGATTGTTTCAAAAAGTCTTGGAAATATTTCTGATCCGTATCTGTATAAAAACTAAAAACAATGAACATGCACGTTTATTACAACAAGCAGGCGGTGTTGTGTCATCTCTACCGAACATGCGCAGGGATTTAAAGCCCACGTCACTGACACACAGTTCGACCAATCACAGTTAAGCAACGGCGCCAGTCAGCCAATCACAAGCATCTGCTGTTTGTTAGACCGTCCTGCGGTTGAACGCTAATTCAGAGAGAAATGTAAGTATAAACATCTTATTTTTTAATTGTTTTGAATTTGTAACATATAAATCAGGTGGGAATTTAGTCCGTGTACATGAAATGTGAATTTGAGGCTCAGTCGTGACCATACTGAGCTGAAAACAGGCTGCTGGCTGCAGGATGCAGAGTCATCTGTGGTGCGTCTATGGCTGTAGTCCGCTCCAGTAGCCGTTTTATTATGGGAGCACTGGGATGAGCCTTGTTTCAGTTATATTTTCCATATTAAAATTGGCTTCTGGATCAAGTTTTCATTTCAGGAGTCTTATCTGTGAAGGACTGTAACAAAATAATAGGTATACATTGAATAAGCTTGAAAAATGTCTAGAGTGAATTCGCATAAAAGAGTTGCCATATGTGATTTACATGAATCACTACTCGATATATTCGTAATTGAGGGGAGTGACACAGCAAGAAAAATAGTTTCGTTTCTGGGACCAGAGCTGCTCTCATTTCTCCCCCATGATCTTACAAATAACCCGTGTTTTCACTCAGACTATTGTCCTCTCTATAGCATAAGTTTAAATATCATGGGCTGCAGTAGCATTATATTTAAGACTGTGATGTCAATGGGCAGTGTTACATGTATTTTGGGATCCACCATACACAGTACATAGAGACAGGGCTTCTATCAGGCAGGCTTTAGTGAGAGGAAAAACAGGCCGAATTTGTATCAAAAGATGAAGCATGACATGAATTATGATTAATTGGATTATTTATTCAGACTGAAACATCTGTTCAGTTTGAGTACAACTCACACCTGAGATGCAAGTAAAATTTGAGCCTAAATCAACATAACTTTTACATATTGTACTAATTTTATTTATCTGCTTGTATCTCAAATATTGTTTGGTCCAAATGTTTTTATTTGGTAATGTTAGGTTTAGCAACATGTTGTGTTTGCATTGTCATATTTAGGTCAGTAAAATAACAGACAGGGCTTCCTCTTCCTCTCTGTCCCTGCAGCAGTGTGTCCTCTTCATCATGGCCTCTGGAGCTTTGTTCCCCAGCATGGTGTCTGGGTCCCGCGGCTCCTCCAGCAAGTATCTGGTTGAGTTTCGGGCCGGTAAAATGACCATGAAGGGCAGCACAGTGACCCCTGACAAACGCAAAGGTCAGGTCTACATCCAGCAGACCGACGACTCCCTCATCCACTTCTGCTGGAAGGATCGGACGACCGGGAACGTGGATGATGTAGGTGACTCTCTGCATGTAAAACTGGCCGGTCTGTGTTTGACTTTTTTTTTTTTAATATTAACCATTTTCATTTTCTTAATCTAGGACCTGATTATCTTCCCTGATGACTGTGAGTTCAAACGGGTAAACCAGTGCACCTCTGGACGAGTTTATGTGCTGAAGTTCAAAGCTGGCTCCAAAAGACTCTTCTTCTGGATGCAGGTATGCAGCTGGATGGTCTGGAGCACCAAATGTGTATTAATCCGCCGATGAAAAGAGTCCACAACAAAGTCACCATTTACTCCTTTTTGAGTAACATTTGCCAGAACTAAAGTGCCCAGTTGTTGAAGGAATTTCTCTCTTGCATTTCTAAACATAAAACTATATATTTGTGACCAGTTTTTAAAGATTTACATCTTGAGTAGCAATAAATGGGCCTTTTGGGTTCCATAGACAGGGTGGAGAAGAAGTACTGAGAGACACATTGTTGGTTTTGATCATTTCATTTTTCTTTTGACCTCGCTCAGTTTTCTGTTTTTCTAATCTCAGGAGCCCAAGACTGACAAGGATGAGGAGTACTGCCGCAAAGTGAACGAGTATTTGAACAACCCGCCCATGCCTGGTGCTCTTGGTAGTGGCAGCAGTGGAGGACATGATCTGTCTGCCCTGGGAGGTAACACACGTTCATGGGCAAGAACCAGAAATTTGGCATAGAAAAACATTAGAAAACACAGTTTCACTCATGCTGTGTGTCACATGTTGTCTTCTGTTTTCATGTAAAGGGGAGGGCGGTCTGCAAAGCCTTCTGGGAAACATGAGCCACAACCAGCTCATGCAGCTCATTGGTCCAACTGGACTGGGCGGGATCGGTACGTAGCTTATTAAATGAGTCCTCAAGCTGCAGAGGTGACAGCGTGAAAACATGATACGATGCATTTGCTCTGAAGTGAAAAATATCTTGTTAGATCCTGTTTCATGTCCTCTGATTATCAGGTGGTCTTGGGGCGCTGGCCGGTCCAGGCTTGGCCAACCTCCTGGGCAGCAGCAGCAGCAGCAGCAGTGTTCCTGCGGCCAGCAACTCCTCAACCAGGTATCTTATGTATATTCCAGTTCAATATCAAAAATAAATAAGTTTCCGCTATTGGCTATGTACCTCATATTTTTTAGCCTTTTTTTTTTTTTTGGAGGCATATTTTTCTCATCATAGCTGGTAAAGAGCCAAACACAGAAGATGAGATGCTGCCAAGAAATCTTTGAGGGGCAGCTATGACAGACAGAAGGTGGGCGAGCATAAGCAGAATCAGCTGTCTAAAACACGAACAGTAAACGTTAAGTTTTAGTGTCAGTACAACAGGGAGAAATCTTGAGCTCGAAGGTTCAGGATCAACCTTGAAAATAGCAGTTTGACAAAACAAATACTGAGCACAAACTCCACTTACTGGAAATTTTCAAGAGCTTTTAGCTGAGAGCTTCATTTCAGAGCTGAAATTTTCTAAAATATTTCCAATAAGTGGACCTGGTGCTAAAGGTTTTTCTGTTGAAAAGGGTGAATTTATTTTGTGAAACCGCAAATACCGGTTTCTTCACACACATTTACACTTAGGACTACAACGATTATTTTCCATTATCGATTAGTCTAATGATTATTTTCTCAACTCATTGATTAAAACCCAAGGCGATTGTTTTTTGTTTTTTTTTTACAAACAATATTAAACAAACAAAGATATTGTCACATAATACAAAGAGAATTCACTTAAGTAAAAAATGAGAGATCTGCTAAGCTAGCCACCGTTAGCAGGAGTTTAGCTGTTTTCTCTTCTCCATCACGAGTTGATTTATCTGCTGCCTTATTTAATCTTGTGGAATGACAAGCCAAATTGTCAGTTCATCGAAATTGATATTTTTCATTTACAGATTAGAACTAAGGGAAAATTTAAAAGGTAAACTTAGCTTTAGTTTTAGCCACGGCTATCTCACAAGCTATCTTTCATTTGATGTGGTCCTCTGACATTAGATGTGGAGTAGTTTTATCTCTATGGAAAAGAGTTCAGTAAATGTGATGACAAGTCTTACAGTTCACAGATTACATGTTACTATGGCATAATATTTTTTTATTTTAGTAAAACATATGTCAGAAAGTCAGATACAGGTATGAACTAATTTTTAACCAAGTATGTAGTTACTGTATTTTACCTTTGTGGGGCAGTATTATCAAAATAGTTACCTATTCATTTTCTGTTCATTGTCTTATCAGTGAATCATCAATATTTCAGACCAGCATATAAAGTTTTCACAAGAGGCAACTGGAAAAACGTGTTCTCTGGTTTACCACTGTTGTTCTCTACGCCCTCATACTACATATATGAAGTTCACTATTCCTTCCCTGGGGTTGTTGAAGTGCATTCCTGCAAATGAAGGAAACAACTGAAGCAGAAGTAGTTTTGGTTCATCACAAAGCAACAATAGAAATCACAGACTGATGATTTAAATCTGTACTAATGCTGGAAGTTTGATTCAGTAACAGTCCAGTGATAGACAAGGTGTTTTTTTTTCCTCTCTCCTCTCAGTCCGTCCACAGCCGTCACCCCCACCTCTACCTCCACTGCCAGTCGGCTCAGCTCCTCCCAGGTACCCACCACCCCTATCACTCCCTCCGCCACCTCAGCAGCCTCCCCCACAGCCACCACCCCCTCCACCCCTGCTGTGTCCTCTCTGGCAGCAGGGGCAGCCAACCCCACACAGCCCATCCAGCTGAGAGACCTGCAGAGCATCCTGGCCACCATGAATGTGCCTGCCAGCGGCCAGGGAGGTGAGACAACGACCATAGAGAATGTAGCCTCAGGCAGACCGAAAACTATTCTGCTCAGAGCTGAGATAAGACAAAAACTTCAATAACCACCAAAGGCAAATGCATAATTAGCCCTAATTAGAGTAAATTCAACTAATTATGCAGCAAATAATTAAAACTGTAGACACAACAGTTTCTGTAATAATGTGCAATTTTAACATAATAAATTCAGCTTGTTGCAGAAGCAGTAACCCCCTGTAAACACTGCAGTCTGTTGCTGTTTTGAGTTAATTTTACTGTGACGACATGAGGCTCCACTGCATCTTTCCTGTTTCATTCACACTGTTAATCACTGTCACCCTGCCTATAGATTCACATACAAAACTAGAGAGTGCTGAGGGAGTAGAACGAGTAGGAAGTGGAAAGAAATGAAGACTGTGCAAAATTAGTTGAGGTATTATGAAAGAAGTTGCTATAATCTATCTTTTTATATTAACAATGGATCGCATGACTACTTGTATATGAAAGGGAGGAACCCACAGAGAATTATCACCTGACTCTGCAGCTCCGTGGATCTTTACAGAAGCTTTCAGCTCAATGTTTTAGTTTAACGGCCTCAATTTTATTGTGTTGATTCACTCTTAAAGCTCTCGAACTGTCGCTTTAAGCTGCAGTAGGCTGATAAACGCACTTTGCACCTCCTGACAAGGACTGAACAGCAGACAGACAAAATTTTAGTGACTTGCTGGTGAAGAAAAATTTAGCAGCTTAAGAGCCAGATACTATTTTTTTTCTCAGATAATTGATGTAGAGCAAAATGAATACTAATATTACAGCTGTTTGCTAACTCGTTTGTCATATCAAAGTATATCTTAGTTAGAGGTTATCAAATATGACTTTTCTTTTCAGACGAAGACAAAAAAAACTAGAGAGAGCTAGAACTAGAAGATTTCTCATAAATGCTTCTAAGTGTTTTCATCTACATATGCAAATGTAGGCGAATTAGGTTCAAAAACAGGTGGATGTTAAGAGCAGTTGGCTTATTACAATGTGTGTGTGAATTCCTAAAACTATGTCATTGTTTCAAGCTCTGTCTTGAAAAATGTTCTGATTATACAGGTCTTCATGAAAAAAGCCTGAAACAGAAATAGAAAGTAATGCTTTTATATCTGTGGGGGATATATTTTCATTCATATTTTCATTTGGTGGTGTTTGTTGCCTGTAGTGGACCTCGCCAGCGTCCTGACACCTGAGATCATGGCACCCATCCTGGCCAACCCTGAGGTGCAGCAGAGGCTGATGCCCTATCTGCCCTCCGGAGAGTCCCTGCCTCAGAGCTCAGAGGAGCTCCACAACACGCTCAGCTCGCCTCAGTTTCAGCAGGTAAAGTGTTCGCCCTCTTCTGTAGTTTCCAACCAGTCCGTAACTGAATGTGATTTATTTCTTGTGTGGCAGTTTCACTCTGTACATATAATTAAAACACAAACGCCTCTTGGCTATGGGCTTATTTCCAGCCTGGTGCAAAGTTTGACATTAAACATTTTACTGTCCTTGGGCATGAAAGCAGCATGTGAACTGTGAAATACTGTATTTTCCTCTGAGCAGAATTCTGGTCACTGTGAAGCCGTCTTTTGTTGGTATTTAGCGTGTCGTTGTGGTATTGGCCCTTACTGTCTGTATTTATTGTTTCTCTCAGGCTATGAGCATGTTCAGCAGCGCCCTGGCATCCGGGCAGTTGGGGCCTCTAATGAACCAGTTCGGCTTGCCTGCAGAGGCTGTCGATGCCGCTAACAAAGGAGGTCAGTGTTTCACCCACATCAAGCAGAGACACTGTAACTGTTTGTTTCGCTGCCAGAGAATTCATCCTGTTTCTTTGAATTTATACACGACATTGTAGTATACTGAGAAAGCTGAAAAAACTAAAACTTTACCAAAGCTCAAAGGGAGATATAATTTTTCATTCAGTACATTTGAGAGATGTAGTTACTTTTTCAACTTTTACTTAAGATTTTGAATGCAAGACTTTTACCTATAGTGGAGTATTTTGACTTTGTGGTTTTACTGCTTTTACTTAAGTACAGGATCCGAAAGGTTTTTCTACCTGTGAATGCGGTGATCCCTTACTGTATTATACTGATACAGTATTTTATAGACTTTTTAAAGATTAGTCTGGTGTCATTCCATATTTTTCTTATTATCAGTGAATCTCACAAAAAAGCCAAAATCAACAAAGTATCAGCCCCAGTCTGTGGCTCTCAGCCCTAACCTCACAGGTTCAAACTGAAGACACCCTTCTTTAAAAAATATCAAATAAATATATAGTTTCAGGTTTTTGAAGTAATTTCTTAAAACAGCTGGGCACTGCAGTTTTTAGCAGAAGTTACTCCAAAAAGAGTCAATGTTGGGAACTAATTTCACCAATTTAAATACTTGTTAGTAGATGAGTTCATTTTTAGTTTTGCTCTTTTCATGGGATTTGTTGACAATAAGAAAAATATAAAATATCAGCCTCATCGACTGATAATTAATTGGGAGAATAAATGATACTGAGGCCAATTATTTGTGGCCCTGATTTCTAGACGTTTTTGTCTTTGCAGATGTGGAGGCTTTTGCTAAAGCCATGGAGACGGAGACAAAGTCTGACCAGGACGGCGACTCAAAAGACAAGAAAGACGACGATGAAGACATGAGTTTGGACTAAAAAAAGTCCTGACATTATTATTTAATGTATTTAGCTGCTTCTGCTGTTTTGTTACTATTACACATTAAGGATAAGGATTGTGGTTAATATAGTAGAAACTGTGACTAAGACTCCCTCTCAGCTGATAGTGCTGTGTTCATCCTGCAACAGTGTGTTGATTTAATATATACTGATTTACCTGAATGAACATGTATTCTTCCTGCATGTCAGCTCGTAGCCCATCCTGTCCTGACACAAGGGAACAGTAAAGTGATGAGAAACACGCTCATCTGTTGGGTTTATTTTCTAGCCAGCTCTACACTCGACTTCATTTAGTACCTTTAACAGCCTGAAGAGATGAAAACTGCTGAACTATAAAATATTGATTTTAGAAAACAAACAAGTCTTTTCAGTGTCTGAAAATATATTTCAAAAACATTCATTTTACAGTATGAAAACAATGAATATTTAACAATTTGACATCAACCATACAGATCCATATTCTGCAGTTACACCGCTCTTTTTGGACGTTTATTGTGACACATTTTTTACCACTGCAGACACAAAACTGAATCACCATCATGTCTACGACTATAAAGACTGTCCAGAAAGTGTTTGATTATCTTTCCCAGACGAGAGCAACCTCAACATTTAAGGATCTCTACGGCAGCAAGACGAAGAAATGTCAACGTTAAATATCACTTATGATAAGATGGTTAACCATTTCACTGCCACTGTAGTTTCAGGCACTTCTTTCTCCTGCATTACTTGTCCACCTAATGGCACAGAAATCTGAAGAGTTACTTCACAATACATACTTCAGTCAGATTAACACAAACTGGTATTTGCACAAGCAACTCACACATCTATTCATATACTTCAGAGTTACAACAGTCGGATTTCCTGTTGTTTTCAAAGCACTACAAATCAGTTACCTTCCACTGGATTACAATGGAGTGCATGTGATTTCAGCGATGATAGCTACGGTAACAAAAACGATTTTGTTTCTTTGGATTAGATTTTATGAGCTATTCAAAGATACGAGAAAGCAAAATTCCTGAGAACTGAAAAATACAACAACTAGCCAGACTACTGAGGGATAAATTCCAGTGCTTTTAACAAAACATGTCCCTGGTTACTGACATGAAACAAACAAAAAAAAAAAAACACTTACTATAAATAATGTCTCCATGATCCTGTTTCCTTGCACGTGACACCACAGACACTGTATATTAGCACAGTTTGTCAACCAACAACAAAGTCTGAACACAGTGCTGCCACATGAATATTTTCTTTCTACTAGAGAACAAGAGAAATACATGAATGTGGCGTTGTACAGTACAAACAAATTAAAGGCCACTTTCTTCTCTAAAAACAGACTTAACTAAAACCATGTTTTACACCCATAATCTACAGTTTCATGTTTCTGTCCAATGGCTAAAATGCTTCAATGTCACAGTGGGTTTAAAAGGCATTTACAAAATCAACAGTGTGGTGCATTGTCATTTGTAATAAAAACTATACAGGCAGTATAGTAATGAGAAAGGTGCAAGTGAAGAGTTTTCCACAAACACAAACATCACAGCATACAATTCAATTAAATAGAGGTGAAGAATACTCGGATGTACCAAAAACTGGGTCACGAAGAACCAAAATAAAAGCACAATAAACGTGCTCATTGAAGATCTCTAACATAGAGCTCATGACTGGATCAACATCAGAACGTCACAAACGTTTAAAAAGACATTCAGATAGACACACATGCCATCAAGTCTAAAACATTTGCCAACAAGTGTAAACCAGTTATTCTTCATATACAGGGAGTGACTCAAGCCACAACTGACGAGAAATAAATAGTACCAGAATTAATTGTTTTAAACACGACAGCTTATAAACTGGTCAATCCAACCCACACACACGCACACGCACACACAGTTCCAATTTGCTTTGCCACACACACTTGCTGGTGTTATTACTGAAACCAGCAGAGTGTCAGACATCACCACATCCAGTCTAACCCTGCTGCACCAGTCTGCGGTAGTGTGGCATGACCTTGCTCTCAGGGAGGTAAAGTCCCATCTCCAAGGCAACCAGCACAGGAAACTCCAGAGGAATCAACTCTCGTCTGTTTATACGGAAACGCTCCTCCAGCTTCTGCTCATCCACGGGGGGAGAAAAAGAGGAGGGGGGGTTTAAAGGAAAATGTTATGATTTGGTTAGAGTCTAAAATGTTAAAAAGATGCAGATGATCGTACACATTGAAATATCAAAATTGTTGAAGTGGGTTACATTTCCTGGTGCTTCTCTGTCTCTGATGCTCATGCAGTGTCCATTCTAACAGAAAGGTTTATCAATACTAATCATGAGCACTGACGACACTCTTCTATTAGCTGATCGACATTAGCTGTTTGCAATATGCTTTACGATGACTGGCTCATTTACAGCTGTGTGGCTAGTAACATCCAATCATAATAATGCAGGTGTACAACATGGGCATTATAATCCAGTTCATCCCCCTCTTTACGTGGTATTTTGTGTTGTGGATAAACTAAGATTTAATTTTATGTGTGTGTCTTTTAAGCTGGATTAAGTCTCATCACTGCTCGGATTCTTTGGGGGCTTTTTCTATCAAATTTAACTACATAACCATTTGTTATAAATGGACTCTGAATGAGGTAAAACAGCTCAGATTAAAGTTATAATCCTTAATATTTTCAGTTTTTGATTCTATTCATGACAAACATTTTTCAGCAATAGCTACTGAATGTATTCATATTCTATAATTACCTCTCTGTATAGTATTTTATAATGTTAGTGTTGGGGTCGATCATTTAGAGTGGGAATCAAACTGCCTTCACACACGCAGGGAACTAACAGGAAATGATGCATGTATCTAATCCATCTCACCGTTTGTAATTTTATCTCACTGACATCAGTCTCAGTGTTTACCTTTCACTCCCACAGTCATGTCAGAGCTGTACTAAGTTACTGCTAATTCTAACTAAATATTTCCAACAGCTGCTAGTTCACATTAAAAGCATTCCACTGGCGAAATGTGAGGTGACTTTTATTGTGAAGCTTTCACAGGAAAGGTTACAGGCCACAGCACCTCCAACCCTTCAGAAAGGTAACCAACTCAACTGTAATGTGTCCTGCTGTTGTGTGGAAAACTACTCACAACATGAGAAGCATGAAATCACACCACAGTTGCTCATGGCACAATGGAAAAAGGCCAATTATTGACCGACTTCTGACTGAAGTCATCTCTTTTTACAATCACAAATAATGTTGACATTTTTTTTTTCAGTGTATTGGTAATAGTTTTTTACTTTTAAAATGAAAAACAGTCTTAGGGGAAATATAAGAAATGCTCCTTTACCTCACCACTGGCTACAGCTACTTATCAGTGTTTGTGTTTGATTGACAGCAGCAGCTGAGGTTGAGCTCAAGCAGGAAAATGAGGGAAAGGGTAGATAAACCTGAACTATAGCTACAAGCCATGCGCAAACAGAGTATTGAGGGTGATATTGAAGAGTAAAGACCACAACAACCCTGATGTTTAATGTGCTGCAGCTGAGCTACTTTTTCCCCAGTTAGTGTTTGGTTGGTCAACAAGCTCCGAGCTCTACATATACATTGCTCATATGATTGGTGTTTAATGGAAATATTGTTAAAATTTAAATGTGTGGTTAAATTTTCAGGAGCTGCTGTTCTCAAGACTTCTAATTTCAACATTAACCAGCTTAAATAATTTAACTTTCATCCACACAATATTTACTTGCTTAACATTGTGAGGAACCTGTTTCTAATCCTGAATAATGTGGGGGGTTGAAAAGATAATGCTGGGTAAATAACACTGAGCTAGATACGACATGTGTTACAGGTTTTTCTTCTTTGTCTACACATCTCTGACAGGTTAAAAGTAAGCATCTTGCTTTGTTTTAGGTTTCTACTCGGTTTGTGTGGAAACTTTACTCACATCAATGAGCTGCTTGACTTCTGGCTTCCGCAGATCACTGCTAATCTTTGCAGCCAGCAGCACGCACGCTGCTGCCACCAGCTTCCTGTTCTGCTTGTTGAGGCGACCCTGCAGCACCAGCTTCTCAAAGTAAACAAAGGCCATTGCTATTGTGACCGGCTGTAGACCGCATTCCTCGCTCACAGCCCGCATCTCCCTCTTCAGGCTATTGGAGAGGAGGGGGACAATTACTGATCAGTTTTCTAAGAAAGAGCACATTGTGTGACTTGTTTGAACCTGATTTTTTTTTTAATTAAAGGGACGATGTGCAGCTTTCAATATAAATGTCACCATTTGATGTGCTGAACCATTTTATAGCTTCAAGCTCATTTACATCTGCAGTCCCTTGGCAGGTTATAACATAAAAAACATAGTAATACACAATACTCTTTACAGAGTAAAGACAACATATATGGCTATAGAGAAAGAAAGAGCAAAAGAAAGAAGCACACAACAAATATTAAGTCAACAAGACATGGTTCAAAACTACACATAATAGCACAGTGGACATGTATGCTTGTCAAGTAAAAGTCATGAAGACCATAGGATATCACAAGGAAACAGGAGGAGGCACAACAAGGTTCAACCTTCAAAGGCTTTTAGACAAAAGTTTGATAGTCAAAACAGCATTTAATATATCTGTACCTTCTTATCTTGCTCAGTGTCAGCTTAATGTGAGGAAACTTCTCCTTGAAAGTCTCATTCATATCCTTCTTCAGGTCAGATGGTTTCACATACTCAATAACAGTTGTCTGCAGAGATGGAAACCGAACCAGCACGTCAGTACAGAAGTGTCAGCATGAATTATAGACCAATAAAGCTTCACAGTGTTGCTTCTAAATCGTCTTGTTAAAGCTCATTTCACACACACTCATGCTAGAGGTTATAGTCTTGTGATGTGATCTACTGAGCAGCAATAAAATCATGTGAATGGGACATAATGGATGTATTTTTCTCTCAAACAGGAGGTAGCTTCAGTAGTGGAGAACTGCTTCATTTTCCAGGTTAACATCAGAACAATTTACAAGCGAAATTAAACGACCCTGTTCCTGATTTCTGAAACAAAGAACAGCCCATGTGAGACAATTAGAATGTGAACATTCACTTGACAGAGAAACCAGGTTACACAGGTAAACAGAGAACTCATCTGAATGCACTGTAGTAACCTAGTAATTGTAAATCCATGTATACATAATTACTCCCCTACCCACAACCTTATTTTGGAAACATGGCTCTCTTATTTTAACTGTAAGTAAAAGGAGACACTGTGTCGGTTGTGACTTCTTTTTGTTTTTGTTTGGTGTGTCTGTTGGATTAGTGAGAGCACAGACAGAGTGGCGCTTTCCTTAACAGCACAAACGTCTCTGAATTTAACAAACAGTCAAATGTTCAGTGGCTTCTTTGTGTTCGTTCAGGGTTTCTGCAGGGTTCACACGCACATTTCAGACTTTTTAACACCTCATAGAATGCAATTTAATACTTGACTCACTATCAGAATGAAAGTATGATGAAAAGTCAGTATGGATGATATTGCCTAGAATAATTTCTTATTAGATATTTTTTCTGTACTTTTAAGCAGTATACAACAATAATATAATATAATTAACTACATGAATGTGACCTGGAGATGGATGGATGGATTAATCAATTAAAAATCAGGTTATATCAATTTAGGTTTTTGCTAAACTCTTCACTTGTCCATCATGAGACAATGAGCTTCCTAGCTACAGTAGCCAGCAGTGATCATCACAAAGTGTTTGAAATGATAGCCATAGCCATTAGTTAGAACCATGCCAAGGTAAATAGCAGTTGCAGCGATATGAGGAACACAAAATTGTTTGCACAGATAAAATCAGGAGACTTAGAGCTTTCAAACAATGTATGATTTGACAAGGTTGTTTGCAGGTTGAGCCTGGTACAGACCAAAACACCCCTAAAGTAGCACCATCAAGGCCGAAGCGTGCCGCAGGTGAGACAGTGTATTTTATAAGGTTAAGAAATTAGTTTACTGTAGATGATTGACTGTAACCTGGTGACTTGCGTGGCTGTAAACGCACTGAATGAAAATTAATTCTCACCACATATGATGCAAATATAAGAACCCTCTTGTGTCTCCCACAGGGCCACTGAGGGTCACTGAGCAGGTTGGGGTCATACTCTGCCACCTCCTCTATACCTGAAAGACACAAAAATAAACAGTTTGTGTTACAACATATGAGGTCAGTTGAAGAGTGAAGTGTTTCTGTAAGAGTCAATTTGAGACATACATGGGTCCTGTGCCACGCTGTTGTTCAGACGAGCCAGGGTGATGTTCCTCTGCCCGTTGCCACGGAAACGTGACTGAGGGGTCTGAGCTGTGCAGCTCTCGGGCACACAGCCATTCTTCTGCCTCACCAAGGCATTGGTCGGATAAAGGAACTGAGCGTATGACACTGTCTGAGGAAGAAAAACAAGACTGTCAAAGACCTTCACATCAAGCAGATTCGTCTGAGTAACGACAGGGAATTTTTCTATTTCTCATCACAGCGGTGTACACCCACTGAGCACTTTATTAGGAACATCTATACATCTGCTTATTTGTGCATATATCCAATCAGCCAATCATGTGGCAGCAGTATATTGTTAACATCAAACATCAGAATGTGATCTGTGACTGTGATCGTGACATGATTGTTGGTGCCAGACGGGCTGGTTGGAGTATTTCTGAAACTGCTGATCTGATGGGATTTTCACACACAACAATCTCTAGAGTTTTTACTCAGAATCGAGCCAAAAAAAAATCGAGAAATCAGAATCAAGACAAAAAACATCCAGTGAGCATGTGGATCTAAACACCTTGTTGATGAGAGAGGTGAGAAGAGAGTGGCTACACTGATTGGAGCTGACAGAAAGGCAACTGTAACTGAGATTAACACTCTTTACAACTGTAGAGAACAGAAAAAACATCAGAATGAACAACACGTTGAACCTTGAGGTGGATGAGCTACAGCGGCAGAAGACCACGTCTGGCTCTTCCTGTCAACCGTGAACGGAAATCTAAGGCTGCAGTGGACACAGGCTCAACAGAACTGGACAGTTGAAGACTGAATAAATATAGCCTGGTTTAATGAATCTGGATTTCTGCTGAGGCAGCAGATGGTGGGAACAGAATTTGGCCTCAACACCATGAATCAATGGACCCAACCGGCCTTGTGTCCGCAGTCAAGCCTGGTGGTGGTATAATGGTGAGGCGAATGTTTTCTTGGCACATTTTGGGCCCCTTAATACCAGTCAATCATGGTTAAATGCCACCGCCTATCTGAGTTTTGTTGCTGACAATGTGCACCACTTTATGCCCACTTTATGCTCTGGTGACTACATTTAGTCACCAGATCTAAATCCAACAGAACAGCTTTGGGATGTGGTAGAACGGGAGATTCACAGCTGACAAATCTGCAGAAATTATATGATGCAATCACATCAACAAGGAACAGACTCAAAGGAGAGCTTCCAACATCTTGTGGAATCCATGCTACAAAGAAGTGAGGCTGTTTTGAGAGCCCTACCCAGTATTAGTGTGTTGCTCCTATTAAAGTCCTCGACGAGTGTATATTTGATAGACATTTACCTTGCCATAAGCGCCCAGCTCCACGCCTTCCAGGGAGGGGAGCAGGTCCACAGCCACCACAGAGGAGAGCCTTTGTCTCTGAGCCTCCAGCTTAGGATCACTGTTCAGAAAGAGTCACATTTATGTCATTTTCACCACATGCTGCTCACATTGACCTTTCCTGAAAATGATATGGATCACTAAGGAGGGTGATGGAAACATAAAAGCGAGGGGTGGGTGCTCTCTGCTTGGACTGGTGCTTTGTACCTGAGGTGTGCACTCTCTCCATAGGGCAGCACTGAGAAAGCAGCATATAGCGACCGCTTGGCACAAATCAGCATGATCCTGCAGGACACAGCAAGTACAGGCAGACAAAACAGATGGTGTGTCAGTCTACAAGCAACAACGGCAGTCACTGCTGCTCAACAGCTACTGTACACACGACATTCATCAGTGCTGGAGCTGCAGTGACAGCGAAATCAGTCACAGAGCCACTTCTATTTTGGTCACTACCAAAGCTAAACAGCTATCACCAACAATCTAAAGTTTAAAGCAGGAGGAGAGGAATCAGAGAGCTGCACAAGCTCAAGTTAGTGCCGCTCATGTATTACCTTGGAGCTAGAGTAGAGTTGGACAATTAGTTGTTAGACAGACAATTAATTGGCAACTACCTTGATAATCATTTAATCATCACAATAATTTTATGAGTCCGCATGTTAATATTTTCTGGTTTTCTGATAATCTATATAAAGTCTTCTATGATAATTAACTGTAATATCTTTAGGTTCTATTAGTTATTTATATTTACAAAAATCAGGTGCTCATCTAAAGAAATGTAATTAACAATTATTTTCATCATCCATTAATCTGATGATTATTTTCTCTATTATTAGACGAACTATTTGGTCTGAAAATGTCAGGAAATTGTTTTCAACCATCTGTATTATAAAACACATTGTCCACTGCAAGATAAAAAAGATTTTTCTAAAGATGTGACTGCACCTCCTATTCAATGTAGTCACAACTGACTGCTGTTCTGCTCTTTTTGTAAAACACAAGCAAAATATCAACGCTGATTCATTTCTCGATTAATGGATTTGTTGTTTGTTGAGTAGAATTAAACTGAACTTTGCAATTGCTTTGCTTAAAACTCAAAGATATACTATACTATAATTATAATGAAACTGGAACCATCAAACATTTGGTCATTTTTGCTTGATAAATCATTTAAAATAATAGATTGATTATCAAAATAGTTTTCTGTGGGTCAAAGATTAATTGAGTGATCTTTGAAGGTCTCCAGCAGATAGAACATGTTTTTCATCCAGATGGTTTTAAGAGTCTTTGAGGCTTCTGCAAATGCATTCAGAACAGAGATCACAGATTATATATTTATTTTTAGAAATCTTTAGACAAATCAGATACTTATCTCTGTGACTTGAATGTAATTGTATACATGCGAGGCACAAACTGGGGCTACACTACATAAAACCAGGGGCAGGCAGCCACCAAACGCAGAACACTTTCACTAGAAATGTGGGGAAAAGTGAGCGCTCACAGTCTGCTTAACTGCCACACAACCAGGGAATACAACATCGCTTTTGGGGACCAAAGCAAACTGCACAAACACCGGAGGCTTCAGCTCCACACAAAACATCAATCAATAACATACAGTCAGCAGCCTCTGCTGTGGACACCCAGCAGTAAACACCCAGGTCAGACCTTGAAGGAGAGATATCAAATCTCTTACAGGGGACAATATCTCAACGCATAATCTACAGGTGTTAATTATCTTAGTTATATAACTCTATTAGCTTTGCTTCAAAACATGCAATGTGTGACTGCCTCAAACAGAAACAGAAAGCCACACCTGTGGGGCAGTTTAGGCTTTCTACGTCATTGTCTTGCACACACCAGCAGAAAACACAAGACACATTAGCATGTAGGTGGGTATGAATATGGAGTTGTCTTAGATGGTGAAATGTGGAGGAGAAATGAAAACTGGGGAGTCAAAACAAACTAGTGGAAAAAGAAAAACCTATGACGTGTTTTTTGTCAGTAACTACACACAGTAATCATTTTCCAGAAAACAGAATCCCAACAGATACATTAAAACACTCTTGTTTTCTAACACTGTTTCAAGAAGCTTAACAAACAGCCCGCAGTGTGATATTTCAGTCCAGTCTTGCATTGGGGTTACCTCACTGTTGGTGCAATAGGGTGTTACATTTCCACACTGCACCTCATATGGCTTTTGCTAAGCTTCCAAGGGTGATTAATTTCACTGTAGCAATCGCCACTCAGCAGCTGTACCGCTGATATTCGTCTGCAGGCCAACCTAAGTCTCTGCCAAGTCTCTGTTAAGCAGCTTATTACAATACTAGCGGGAGGAGAATGACACAGCTAGAGAGGGCCTATTTCAGAGTCCAAAATAAAGCAGCCATTGTTTTTTGAGTTTCTCTGACAGGAAAATTGGTATAGTAAGTCAGAGTTATTCATGTATTCCCCTACTGCATTCTGTGTGTAAATGTATTTTGTATATGTAAATATATGTTGGACACTCACCTGCATCCTCTGGTATCATACTGCCGCATACTCTTGATGAAGTGGACTTTCTTTTGCACCTTGGGTCCAGGAGAACCAGAGACATTTCTCAACCTGAGTAAGAGAAAGAGTAAGAATGACACAGAGGCCACTCAATTAACACTGGAACAACATCAACCAGACAAAGGACTTTCACATGATATGGCTTGTTCTAAAATCTGGACTTTCAATAATGTAAATCTCTTTACATCACAGGTTTGGAGTATCAAAGTAAGGCCAAAGTAGAGGGTCAAATCCAACCCTCCTTATACCAGAGGGACAAAATGTGTTGGGTGTTTTCTCCAAACAGTAACTCACACCATGAATCTGTCGACTGATTAAAGAGGTGCCTTATTTTAAAGCAGGCAAGTGACTGATTTATATCTAAGACACTAATAATACAGGACACAAAGGAGCAGTGCTCACCACAAACAACCCCATTGTAAATCTACATTAAATTTTTAATAGACATACATAATATTATACTTAAAATATATAGATAGATATCACTATAAGAGAATGAAAGTGAATTTATCTCATGATAACCGATGGTTTCATTTTATGCGGAAGTCAGTAAAGGCCCATGGTGATACACCAACCACTATGCTCACCTCTGCCGTGAATCCTGAGAATTACCAGTCGGGACCGGGCTCAGCGCGGCGGGCGTTGACCTGACACGGGTGCAGGGCTGGTGGCCCGTGGGCACAGGAGACAGAGGGGTGTCCGGGGTTAGCGTCTCGGCCGCACTGCCACCCTCCAAAAATACCTCATTAGCCCCGACAGCACTTGCCACGGCAGGTCCCGAAGACATTACCAAAGAAGGTCGAGTAGGACTAACCACTCCTGGAAAACTGGAGGACGAGCCACTACCGGCCGAGGGGGTTTCTGTCACCGGGGCGACGGGTCCTTGGCTATCCGCCGGCGTGGGTATGACCGTTGCGCCGCCGTCTCTGTCCCCGAGTCGGTGCTCCTCGGTGGCTTTTTGGTCGGTATTTCCATCGTTAAACTGACACTGGGGCCGTCCGTCTAGTGAGATATTGTTGAGGAATAACAGAGCCGCTTGCCTCCTTCTGGAGTCCTTTGCTTTCCTCCGGTGCTCTCGGTGTACCTTCGCTGGTTTACTGTTACTGCCGGTGGACTGCAGACCGCAGACAGCGGTCGCCATTCTAGTTTGAAATGTGGCTGTTGAACGTGAAGGCAACGAGTGACCGGTACCGCGCGTTAGCCCCGCCCCGTCTGTGTACTGATTGGTTGTGACGGTAATCATGCAGATTGTAATACGCTTGTCTTGTAAAGACTCATAGGCGATTGGATAAGACACATTTTATGCAAATATATCATTGGTGCTCGTATTTGATTGGGTGGATGGAAATAGTGGGTGATGCGCTGGAAACAAAGGAAACATTTAAAATCACTAACTTCAATGATTCACCTTAATTCTGTAAATCAAACATGATTTTTTTTAGGTTGTCTTTTGTAATGAAATACATTAATCCTTTATGCAGGGTTGGACTAGAGTAAATTGGTCCGAGGGTATGATAAAGACAATGACTAATTATCTATAATGTTGTAAATGGTTAATATGTATGTAATATGTATATATATATAGTGTGTCTTATATATATATATATATATATATATATATATATATATATATATACAGCTAATGGGTTTCTCACTTTCTAATAAGCCATTAAGTTTGTTATTTATGAATATTATTAAATCATTAATAAAGGTTTTTTTAATCCACCAAGTCTTCTGTGTAGATGATAATAAGTTGTTAATAAATGGATTTTGGTCCAGATGCCTGATTAACCTGCTAGTATTCTAACAGTGCATTTGAAAGGTGTTTCTGATGAAGGGATTAAAAACGCATCAAAGCCATTTGTTACTATTTATAAATCCTTTATAAAGTGTGTCTTATAAAGTGGAATCAAAAATGACTTGCATGAGCAACTGAACATTGTGAGCTATACAAAGGTAATATTTACAATAATGCATTGTATGAGAATTGTACTTGTGTTTTTGTCAGCATAATAGATGTTGTTTATCTATTATTACAATTTCTCTTCCTGTGAGTGGTCTCTACTAATTGTCACTGTCATTTTTTTTTTTTTTTTTATAAAACAATTTAACTGAATCACCAACCAACCTCCAACTCTGTGGTATCCGAAAATATTTTCACATCAGAGTGTTTTCCTTTTGAGAAAATGGCACCAGGGGTCTATTTAGCATTTGTGAACAAATCATTGTGAAACTGTGTGATCAAAGACGAGTTCCAGCAAACTGCTCGGCAGCCTATTCTCTCATTTTACTACTGCGATAGGAGTTAACAGGACAGTTTTCACATTTTCATTTTAGTTTCACACCCCATTGACTTGTAAACATGAAACTTGAGGCAGCCTGTTTCTCTGAGACAGAACCTGAAGTGTGAAAGTGTCTTCTTCTCCTGAGTGGGAGTGATCAATGCAGTACACTGATGGGGACCCTGGTCTTTTCTTCCTTCGCAGTTAAGATGAATTACAATGATAAGAGCATGTCAAAGAGTGCATTTTGAATTAGAGAGCGGGTTCCTTTGTTTAGAGGCCACTCACCTTTGTGGATACAGTAGTTAGTGGTGACAAGTTCAGTGTCGTGTCATGTTTCTCTGTGTAAAAAGGAACAAACAGTAAAAGTCAGGTAAACACATTGCTCTTTATTGTAGCAACACCAACAAAATGAAATTGTCTTCACCTTCTTGTTAACTTTTTTTTCTTGCTCTGAACAGCAACAGTCTGGCATGACCAGTTTAAGGCTTTTTGATTCTAGCTTTGTTTGAGGTACAGCCCTGACCACCTCCTGCCACAACAAGCTCATTTTATGGTTCACTGTGTGGTTGTTATGTGATGGACTCAGACAGTTAGCACCATAATCGAAGCCTCTTTGGCTTTGTTTCTGCGACAGGGGTGGTAAAGGTGCTCTGTGGGCTATTTCTTTCTCTCATTGTCATCTGGAGAAAAAGAAGATGAATGGACAGTGTTTACAACAAAACTGTCATTTCTCAGTGACACAATTTCAAATTAACTTAAATGCACATGGCAGGACTCTTTCCCTCCCACATACAGCCATACACATGCTGGTATGTGAGCTCACACACACATACACGCAAACACTCACAGACACACGCACAGTTCAGAAATTTTCCTCTTTTGACTATTCTATAGAAAAACAACCCTGATAAAAGAAAGCACGGTATAGCTTTATTTCAGGGGTCCATAAATTCCTAATAATTTTCCATAAAGTTTCATGGAAAGAACTTTCACTAGCATTAATAATAGGGAAATACAGACAATGTTAAATTACTAAACTACTGAATGATCAGTTCCAATTAGTGCTGCAACTGAGGATTTTTTTCATTATTGATTTTTGATTAATCATTTACTCTATGACAAATTTCACTGAGCTCTGGTATTTGGAATTTTTGAAAAATTACTGAAACAATAAATCGTTAATCAAAATAGTCAATCGACTGATGAATTAATTGACTCATTGTGTCACTGAACATGAAAAAATGTGCAATTTGACTATGGGTACTTATGCAATTAAACATTTATGCAGAATTAAGTTTCTGTGAATGATGAATACACTTTTCCACTTTTTCTTGGATTTAAATGGAGCAGTGATTTTGAATAAATTGCTAATATATAAATAATATAATATAAAATAATAATAATATAAAATTCATTTTAAAAGATCATACCAAATGACATATTTCTCTCTAGGAAAGTTTTGAGGAAAATATAAGGAAATAACGGACCAGTAGAATAAAGTGTTACCAAAAGTACCACATGCCTGTACCATCAATAATATCAAAGCTATTCTGTTAGGAATCTGGAGTCTGCAGCTAATTCTATTTTTACATTTTTCAGACAACAAAGTATGGATACAGTACAATTACAGACAGCGCTGTCCCTCTGTAACTTCCCCATCATTGTACAGTTTAATTTACATGGAAATGAATGCCTGTCCTGTTGCCTTTGTTCTGTAAGATGGGTGCAGTACGAAAATACAGCTGTTGAGAATCCTATCTGTAAAACACATCCTGCAAATGTAATGGAAATCATAATGTTGCTATTGTTCAGTACATACACATTCTGGAGGAAGGTGCATCTGGTTACAATAATAGTGATGGCATGTCCCAAAAACAACAGATTGCTTGTAAACACACACAAATCTCTTTTTTTTTTGTTCTAGCTTACCTCAAAAAACAAATAGAGTACCACAGGAATGTTGTAAATCCCACTAACAGCATGAAAATGCTTGAAGCCTTGTCACAAATAATCACATTTTCAACTGTTTTTACATTCAACTCAAATGTTGCTTTTGAACTGCCCTTCAGGTTTGAAGCAGCATTTGCAGAGACTCCTTCAACATGAGTGAATAGCTATGGAAAATCATGATTATGATGATCAGAACCTGTGCAGCATTTATTGTAGACTGTGTTTAAAATGACAGTGCGAGTTTAGCATCTTTAAATGCCTCCCCTCTACATCTTGTTCGGCGATGTTTCGGTTCTAGCTGCCATAAGTAGTCATGCATGTTGAAGGCTTGCCTCTGTTGTCGACCGCCTTTAGAGGATGTGCTGAAGCACCTTCACTGAGGAGGACTTTCTGCCTCTGATTGATAATCACACCACTCCACTTCTCTGCCTGTGCTCCTCTCTAAGTTCACTGGGCAGCGAGCTTTGCCGCTAACCTCGACCTCTTCCTGTACCACATCCTGACCTGAGAAATGATACAGAAACTTAAATATGCACCATCATTAGACAACATCACAGGTTTGTGCCTTTGTATAAAATAAAGACATCACACTCTGTCCCTTTCTTTGCCCGTTTGTCTCCACTTCCTGACAGTACAGAGAGCAATCAAGTGGGCGTGGAGCTGAAACAGACTGCTCAGTGAGAGTCCACCTGCCATTTTATTCTAAGGCAGGATGTCCACATGGCAGCGAGCTGAGTCACAGCGCCTTCAGCACATCATACGGTGGTCTCATACTCCATCACTTCTTTGGGTGTGCCCAGACAGCGGTACTGAATCCTGGGTGTGACCGGGGCGGCGCTTTCAAGCACCAGGATGGTTTTACGCAGCCGGCGGTCAATGAAGTGAGCGTCCCAGGCGGGGTACTTCTTCCTGGGCAGGTCTATTCGGATGACGGGCCCCTCTGTCCTGGGTGTGAGGTGTGGCACTAGGGCCTGCGCTCCCCGAGGTGGTCGTACCTGAAACACGTCTCCATCTACCCCAGGCCCTTGCTCTCTGTCTGACCCTTTAGTTCTCTGAAGGGTCCTGGGGGGGCTGCTCACCAGGTCAGGGGGGAGGCTGGAAGCTGGTGAGGCCAGCGACTCCAGAGGCACCTCCTTCTCCACGATATAGCCCCACCCTGAGACTGGGCCGTCAGGGTGCAGCAGACAGTAATACACAAACATGAAGAAGGTGCCCAGAGCATAGCTGCTGGCCACCACACACACCATGATGACAGCGTAGAAGTCTGAGCTACGAGGGCCGCGGTACAGGTACCAGGCAGTGGTGAGTGCCACATTCTCAACGAATACAGTCAGACTGTAGATGAGCATTCTGCAGCGAGTGCGCCCCTCTCTCACACTGAACCAGCAGAAAACATACACAATGCCCACCATCATGTTATAGATGATCTCCTCCCATTTGGACATGCAGAAGTCTGTTTCACCTTGAATGATCCAAAACGTCATGATGCACCAGTGGGCCACGATGAAGATGCCAAAGTAAAGCTGGAACACGGAGGCGAACAGAGCAAAAGCCAGAGTGCGGGCCCCGATGGTGAACAGGTGCCACAGAATCTGAACTATGACGGCCTTGTAGGTCATAGGTAGCTTATCGTCTCGGGAGTCCCTCAGGACTTTCTGATAGGAGGAGACCATCCACGCGAGGGATATCAGTGAGGCAGAAGCTGAAAGACCTGAGGAGACAGTGAAGGGGAGGCAGGAAGAGAGAGATGGAGAAAGAGAAGTTAGACAGGATTAAAATGGCTCAGGGGTAACTTGTCTTACCGTTTAGCACAGCAAGAATATACATTCCCCTGCTCTGTGGGGCCTGATTGAGGCGAGCACAAGTGACTCATGCACAGCGTGGGCTGCAGACAAATGACTGACTGATGTCTCGATTTATTTCTGACAGGGTGATGATGGCTGTGGTGATTGGTCATTTTGGGGCACTCACCCTGGAGGGGCAGCACCTGACTGGCCTGGATCATGATGCTGAGCTGCAGCACCAGCTGAGGGGCACTCTTCAAGAAGGACTCCAGCAGACGCAACATGCTTATATCAGCGCTCTCAAACATCATACGCCAGTAGTAGTGACGGCGCTCGGGGTCCCTGTGCCAGCGACTCTGCACACCCAAATACAAGGCGTGGACATACCTGTGTATCAGAGGCAGACACAGTCCAGACACATTCATCAGTACATTGCATTTTTGTTGAAGGAAGGGAGATTGAGCTAAATTTTAGGTTTTAATACTGTGCTTCAAAAACTTTTCAACATCAAACACAGACTCTCAGAAGTCATAACTCATTATTCCAAACTCTGGGAGCTGTCAGTAGTTCTTGCCAAAAAGCTGGTTGCTTGCTCCTCTGGGATTTAGATTAGACTGAAACTGAACTAAGCAGCTCTGTGGTTTTAATTTTAGTACAGGCAAGTTGGGGGCTGGGGGAGGGGGGGGGGGGGGGGGTGCGGCACTTGTCTGCAATCTCTCTTCAAATAAAATAAGTCAGAGGGCTGAAGAAAAGGCAAAATATGATGGGGCTGCAGAGAAAAGAAATGCTCTCAATCCAGTGATCAGTGATCAATCCATCAGATTCAAGGGTGGGGGTATGTTTGTGTGTGTGTGGGTGGGTGGGGTGGGTGGGGGGGCTTGCTGTAAATCTCTTGTTGAACTCCTGAGCTTTTCTAACATCTAGTGCCACCTCTGTCTCATCTTCTTCTATAATGACCTTGTATAACTCCACATGTGGCAATGTGCAACCATATTTCTGCACAAATGTGACATGTGACTATGCAAATATACAATGTGTAAATCATCATCTTTATCATTATACTCACAGTTTGAAAAAGACTGCCGGTTGCCACGGAGGAGAGAAGCTATAAATGTCTCAGTAATTGCCTGAGGGAGAAGGGTCAGAAGAACCCTGTGTCAACAAGCCCACTGAACCACAAGGGAGTTTTTGTAACCCTTTTTTATTCTGGTTTGTGCTACACAAAGTGTGCCTTGGGATGTAACACACTGAGAAAATAGAGCATACATGCAGTAATGAGGGTCAAAGGCTGAGCCACGCTGGAAGACATAAACACACACACTTGGAGTTTCATCGTGCACACTCTGTGTGTAATACAACCCCATATCCCATCTCGCGTGTGCTGACATTTAATTCTGGTAGCTGGCCCAAATTGATCCTGGTTCACCTGACTAGCTGTGTATCAGTAACAGATCATTCCTGAGTTAACAGCTGAGGGTAAAACACACCGTGGTAATCCTCTTAATGTGCAGACACGCTGGTCTGAGAGCAGCAGCAATAAACGGAGCGCACACAACAGCTTTAATGGCATTACCGGTAATTCTGTGCCGCCACAATTTTTTAATGTGCTCCTGGACACACTCACACGCTCTCTATCTCATACACACACACACACACACACACACACACACACACACACAAGTCTAAGTCTCCAGGAGGAAATAAGGAATCAATATATATTACCCATAGGGCTGTCTAAAGAGGCAGGAAGAAAGAGACCACAAAGAAAGACACAGACAGAGAGGTTATGCAGGCCTATAGATTAATCAAACAATTGATTTGCATCTGATTCCGTTGTTACACATGATTTGTCTTTCTGCAACATCCCGATATGTCTTTAAAACACAACTTGTCTTGAATGTGAACACGTTTTGTCTAACCCTCCTCCCACCACAGTTCAGCTGAATGCCTCCTCCCGGCTGGCAGCAGTTCAAGCCTGTCAAAACCTATCAGAGCACTCTAAGCTTGAGCACTGCCTCACCATCACTGACTGAGGAGCTGACCTACAGACCTACTACCATCCATGTGAGAGTAATGCTAAAGTGTACACTGGTTTGTTTTCAGTCTCAGAGCATGCCTGGTAATTAAACACACTTTTGAGCACAGCTGAAAGAAACAGACGTTAAACTGTGGGGAGATGTGAGAATATGGATTTCACAAACATAAGAGCAGAAGCCTCAAGCTAAGTACTGGAAATACACCAATATGAGATAGGGATGCAAGTACACATATCACAGCAAACAGGAAGCAACTCTCGTGACATTTATGACTATTCATCTGTCTTCTTCAGCAATCAGGCTCTTTCTCACCCAAACCCCAAAAGACAAATAGATTTTTCTTCTATATAAGGCGATTGGTGTGGATGAGTTGATGATTTTTTCCTGGGAGATGATTGACCTAAAAGCGCATCAGGGGGTTGGGGTTGGGGGAGTGGGTGGGTGGAGTCAAATTCTCCTTTTCCAAGCCAGAGAGAAACGTCAAACAATACAAAAAGACATTCTGGCATTTTGGGCACAGTCCTCCCTGAATGATTACGTTTCATAAGCGTTTAGCTAAAGGGAGTGATGCTGGGCTTTGGAGGATACATGTGCACACAGATGCCACACAGCGCGCGCACACACACACGCGCACACACACAGACACACACACACACAGACACACACACACACATACATACATATACACACACACACACACAAAGGCAGAAGCAGAATGTGTAGTTTCCCCCTCCTCTCAGATCACGCTATGAGTGTTCAGACTTACCTCCAGACCTGTGCCAGCTGAAAGATGTGAACGATGGCCTGGAAGAGCCACATGAATACTCTGCAGCAGCCCCGGGCTCCTCCCGCGGTGCCCGGCCCAGGCAGCACCCCGGCCCCGGCAGTGCAGCCAGCGCCCCGCTCGCCGCTGTCCTTGGTGCTGAAGTCGCTCTCCTCCGCTCCCGACGCTGCCACCACAGCGGCCGCAGCCGTGCCGCTCTCGACGGTTTCCGAGAAATCGTAGGCGAACCATCGGAAGCTCAACACTTGCACGACCACGGACGGGACTATCACAAAGACCAGAGTCAGTGCAAAGCACCAGTAGTCCCTCCTTAGGTAGTAGTCCGCGGCCAGCCACAGGTCTGAGGCCCCGTCCGAGAAGAAGACCAAAAGGGCGCACAGCGTCCAACAGCAGTCCGGGAGGGAGTAGCGCTGCTCGGCGGGACGGCGCTGGGGAGGCCGTGGGTCCGACCTGGAAGGACACTCGGGTGGGATTTCGTTTCGTAGAGAGACGGGTGCACCATCAGATTTCGCGGCCATGTTTGTTGTAGGGAAGAGAGTGAGTAAGAGATGGGAAAATGATGGAAGGGGGGAGGGGGGTCGCGTAGCCTGTCGGGCTCTGTGCATACGTGTGGGAGAGAGGGAGGGGAAAGGAGGCGGGGAGGAGGGCCAGGGTAGGTGAGACAGAAGGGAATCACCGCCGCTCATCAATCAGCGGAGATGATAAAGAGAAATAAGACTTTAATAGCTCTGATACGAAAGCTGCATGTCTGGTCTGATGTCTTCAGAGGGATTCTTTCTCTAATTGTTTGGTTACAGCTGGTACCAGAGGTTACTCCCGTTCATGTGCCTGCACAGGTGACACACCCACCACTAATACAGCAGGACCAGGGGGACTGTGACCTCTGACACAAAACAGAAATCGTCTGGGGTGGAAGAAGTACTCTTTTACTAAGTAAAAATATCAATTCAGCAATATACAAGTACTCCATTACAAGTCCCGCATTCAACATCACACTTGAGTAAAAGTAAACAGGAAAAAAAAAAACGTGGTTAAAGCATCAAAAGTAAAAGTACTCCATCTGCTGAAAAATGGCCCTGAGAGTGATATATTATACACTATATTGTTAAATCATGCATCAATGTTAATATTTAACAGCATTTCACTGTTGCAACTGCAGCCGTCTTAACTACTTTTAGGTGGTGTAATCCGGTGGTTTCCAACCTAGGCACCGGCCTCCACAATAGGTAACAAGATAAAGCTGAGGGGTCGTGAGATGATTCATGGGAGGAGGAGGAAAAAACAAAGTTCCGAAACACAAATTTGTGTTAAATTGTTGTACTTGTCTCTAATCGTAGCTATCTTGTGCAATGTTGGCAACAGTAGATTAACCTCTTTGGGCCTGACAGATATCAGAAACAATCTAAGAAGTTTGGACAACAAACATGAGAATGGGCCTCAAGTGGATGGGTTAAGGCTGGATTACCAACTAAGCATTTAGGGCAACTGCCCATGCAGGGGCCCTGGAAACCACAGGTATGGTATATGCCATGTAATTTGTGTCTACATAATTTGATTAATCACTAATTTTTTGTAAATTTATACCACTAAAGTTCAAAATAATCTGACGGGCTGTCAATCTTGAGGCCCCAGTCTTGTTGACAACCTGAAGCCATCATATTGGGCTCCGAGACACAGGAATGGAGATTTTTCACCATTCTGACTAAACAATTAATTGGGAAAATGATCAATAGTTGCAGCTCTAAGTGCCACATAATACATTTAGAACTTTTAACATCAACATGTTTACAGATATCAAATCTGCAGCTGAACACTCAAACACTTTACATTTTCTACCGGCAGACATGCAACCAGGATGTTGTTTTTGCAGTGATGTTTTAAATGTTGTCACACTTTAAAGAGGCATTTTGGTCTCACCGTCACTTCGAGGTGCAGCAGCAGTTGAATGAGCCTCTTCCGCATTCACTTGCCCAAATCCACCATCTGTTCCTCTGTTCCTATTCTGCTTTTTTCTGCCTTCACTTCCTCTGTGTCTGCCTCCGAGAATCTGGAGTCATGGTTCCTCTTTCTCTGCTGCAGATCAGCTGAGCCAACTCCTCGGCTAAACTCTGGCTCAGGCTGTCATGTGTGCCAACAGGAAAAAACTCTAGTTACACTTTCAGCTTGCTGAGGCTTTCTTGCAGGAGCTGACTGTCTCACATCTGTGTGTGTGCAACAGCATCAAGACAGGAACTTTACCAGTGCATCACGAGCTTTGGCTATTGTCTGCTGTGGAGAAAACACAACTGATTAAAATAAAAGTGGTTTTGTTCACATCCTGCATCTTTAACTCAAATACTTAAATCAAAAAATTGCAAATACCTATAATTATATTTCATAATTCTTGTGATAAGCAACAATAACAGCATTTAAGACATTTAGCAACACTTTCAATAAGAAAAATACAAGACCAAAAATAATGAAAATGTACTAAAATTTAATCATTCATAAAAGCTGGAAAATCATCTGTGACAGGGTAACACGAAGCAATATTAGAGTTGGTTTAGTACAATATATTTTCAGCCTCAAGACACAAATCAGAACAAACCATTTTCCCCATCAGTCTATAAAATACTAATTTCCTTAGTTTTATTATGCAAAAATGGAAGTAGAATATATTATGGGAAATATGGAAAGCTTGCAGCTCTCAATATAAAACAAAGTCACTTAGGAAAGATGTTACCTCATCAATACACATCCTTGTAAGTAGGAACAAGTAACTTATGGACAATGACGCATCTCCGTTGACACTATTAGTGCAGAAATGTATGAGAAGGCCAACATTTCACATGGTTTCTTTTGCAAACATATTGTCACAATATGCTCAAGACTGATGTTACTTTTAATAAAACATTTTAGTTCCCATATATGGATTTAAACCCACGGTCTCTTCTTTTACACTGATATTTCCAAAAGAAAGACACCTTGAGAAGAGAGGAAAAAAAACAAAAAAAAAAACAGACAAAAACAAGAGTTGTCATCAGGCTGACAGTACAAAAAAAGAGGCGAATTTCTTTGCCATTAAAAAGCAGAGAAGAGTATCTTGAGAGTATGTGCCGTCTCCTGCCATTTTGCGAGTGGTGAAGTTATCTCTGTCAGCCTTTTTCAAAATGCTCTGGAGAGGACTTGGAATGCTGGCACGATCCACTGGGAAACAGTTAATCATTACAAGTTTCTGCAAGGAAGAAAAAAAAGTAGTGTCAGTACATATCATCACAAAATGTGTTGGACACAAGGTGTCTGCAGTGCATTTTTATCCATCAATAAATTTTAACTATGTACACTCTAAAGCTGAGCAAGCTCTCTCTTTTCCCCCTGTACCTGTTGTACTGCTCTGTGTGTTTCGTAAGGTGCTGCTGATATTCTATCCTGAAAAAATCCCAATGAAAAATGTATCAATTGCCCACCTCTCTTGAAACTCAGTGGCCATGGTCATCATTTTGGTGTCAGGTTTGCCACAGTAAATCAGAGTACAGCTGATCCAATCTTAAGTGTTTTTGTTGCGGCTTGCTAATAACATTCGTTAGTGTAGTGTACATGAGCTGTAACAACATTAGTACATTAGATGTAACAATAAATACTTAATGAGTGGGGAACGTAATGAAATTATCTGATGGGTGCCAGCAGTTTGAGTCGCCCAGAGACTAAATCTGTTTTGAAGTTTATCCCAGTGAGATTAAGACTACCTGATTACTTTTCACCTGATTAAGATAAGATCAGTTTTGTATGTTCACCAGCTAGTCTCTAACAGTGTGTGCTCGCTGTTTGGCGCTGAGCAGGTAGTTTACAGTGGGTCTTTAGAGATTATTTTGTTGAAATTGATGCTTTAAGAGCGGGACGAGTGAACTAAAACAGTAAAGTTGCAGGTCAGACAGCTAAAAGAAAAGCTGAAACTCATTATAAAGCTCCAGATTCAGGTGATGTAAATACAAAATGTAGAGCAAAGTTTATCTGAAGCTTATATGAAGTTTCAGCAGAAAAATCAAGAAGGCTTTTCCTTGCTGAGCTGCAGTGGAGGAATTGTAAATAGTGAGTATTTTTGTACCATTGAACTGCAATAGCATTCGGAAGTATTGGAAGGGGAACCTGTTAGCTGCCAGCACTGACCGTCACTGAAGGAATGACTACAGCAAGCAAAATGAGTTTCAGTGTTCATAAAAGCCTGACTTGAAAAATAGAGAGCAAATCCTGTAACACCCGCCAACGTAATGACACCCCACAAACATAATACAAACCTGCAGCTTTTAATGTAATAATCCCACAAATGTAATAGCAGTTGTCTACTACAAACGTAATTTCATGTAAATGTAAGCCCACAAATGTGAACCTGCTGCAGAGAAATCCTCATTACAGGGAGATGTTTTGCTTATGCAAAAAAAAAAAAAAAAACTATTTAAACAAGATATTTACATGCCTCAAGACAATTCTGTGAACTGACAAGGAATGATAAAGCTGTGTGCGTGTTTGAGAGAGAGAGAGAGAGAATGACAGAGAAAGTGGAAGAGAAGGTAGAGGTGGACTTGTAAATGCACAGCCTATATTGTGCACAATGTTTCTGTAAGTTATTTATAACCTACTCATAGCACTGCTTTGACACGTTTTGACCCGCTCTGCCCAAACCAATGATATTTTCTAATGAGCTGACTCGAACCCATTGGCAGGTGTATAAGTAAATAAACAATGACCACAAAGATCAGTTTTCATTTTCATATTACATTTTACAATTTTGAAAGCTGAAGATTTTCACCTTCCCACAAAAGTAACAAATCCCTGCAAATTACGTATTATGCTTGTAGTAGACAACTGCTATTACATTTGCGGGAAATTTATCACATTTGTGGGATTATTACATTAAAAGCTGCAGATTTCTATTACGTTTGTGGGCTGTTATGATGTTGGCGGGTGTTACATATCCCTGAAACTATTCCTTTCACCTTTGATAAGCTGTCAGGCGTTTGAAATGTGTTTTTCCTACTCTCTGCCATTTGGAACTTGGTAATGCATCACAGAGAACATAATGTTGAATCGAGGGTCTTAGGGATAGAGGATGTTGTAGGCTGTACAGACTGTAAAGGCCCCTGAGGCATATTTGTGAGCTTGAGCTATATAAATAAAAATAAAGTTGACTATGTCTGCTTTTATTGATGCCAAAGTTAGATTATCATAGTGTTGCAATGCACTGCAAATTAACTGAAAACTCAGCACAGCAAGACGTTCACTGTGAGGGATAACATACTCAAACAAACTTCATAGTCTCCAGAGGCTGATTTTCACATCAAAATGAGAAGACTATAAACCAGTGATTCACATTCACAAACACACAAACGTAAAGACACTGTGTTGTGCTTTGGGAAACATTGGCTGCTAATGTTAGAAATCAAGTACATAAGTACAGCACAATATTTGAAGTAAATGGGCCAGAACATGCAGTCACACTGGTCGTTCAAAGAGCAATTACAGTAACAATGATCCGACAGCAGGTGGAGCCACAACATTCATCAATGGCTTCCAACTTGACAAATTTACATGAAACATTATGAACCAACTTTGATAAAATAAAAGGTGAAGCCATGAAATTGATTGTCACACATGTAGGTTTCAGTCATTTGGATGACACTGGACCATGGTTCCAGGTTTCTCTTTAAAAAAAAAAGAAAAAAGAAAAAAAAGAAAAGACAAAAAGAAAGAAAGAAAGAAAAAAAGATGGATGTGTGGCACCACAACACTAAAAATGCTTTATTTTACCAGAAGATCAGCTTTAAATCCTACAGAGATGCTTTTTGAGTCATCTGTGTTTCATACACATCAGTGGTGCTTTCAATTCCATTTGCTGAGTTTATCCTGTTACTGCAACACACTACTCACTAGCTTTCTGTCAAGATTAATCATATCACCTCAATAATTATTGCAATAGAGCTCTAAATGTTCAGTGAGAATCAGGAGCTCAGTGAGCAGCGGGAGCTCTGTACATGTCTGGAATAAATTGTGTTCCGACACCCACTCACCTGGCCTGGAGCGACTGTGGGAGGGCATTTTAGAGCAGTGTGCAACCTGACTTCTTTTTTGTCTTCTTCTTTTCCATCGGCGTTTTTCTGTTGATCTGTCGCACCAGATCATAGAAAATCTACAACAGAGAAAGTTCAGTGGTCTCAACAATTTGCTTCAGCAGTCACAGAACATCTCCCAGTGAAAGTCGCCAATGCCATTTTAGCCACTTCCTCATAAAAACATAAAAGCTCTCAGTATAAAACAAGGTCACTTAGGAAAAAATGTTATCAATACAAATGCATTTTTGTTGTCCCGCTTAAAGCAGTATGAGACATGACATTTTACACAGCTTTGGTCTCTCTAAAAAACAACAATCAAGCCTCTCGTAGTCATATATGATCATACAATGAAAATGATTGACAGGAAGTCAATAAGATCACACCACTTTTTTTCTGAATAAATGTTTAGTTTTGATCACTTTAGTAACACAAGGTGCATCTGTGGGGAAGTGAAAGGAGCACTTTTATAAATCCTCATTTAGGCAGATGGCTTTTTCAGCTCAGGGGATCAACTTGTGCAACTCTTTACCCACACAAGTTAAAGTGGATAACTCAAGCTGAGTCATGACTGATCTGGTGCTTAGTCATTTGAGTTTTATATTCAATTTATCGTATGTTGTTCTGTGTATTTTAAAGGCCCATCTAAGGACAGGCATTGCAAATTAGCATTAAAATGCTGTGGTATACATCATTGGTTTGTGATGTGTTTATCATCCCTATTCTAGAACTGGGTGATGTGGCCAAAAAATAAAATCTTGAAATAATCTGAAAGACTAAAACATGTTTGAAACATCCCATCTTTAAAAAGGACCTAAGCTGCCTTCCCTTTGAGCATGAATAATACAAAAAACAAAGCTGTCATCATTACACATGTCAAGACCAAAATACAGGTTGGCTAACCTAACCTCAGCCATGGACAGCTTCATCTAAACATAGCACCATCCAACATTTTAATAGTCTGTTTATGCACAGATAGACTAGAAATGTCTGCACACTAATTCATGTGCTCCTGCTGTTTGTGTTTCTGGAGCTGGACCGGACATCAGCCCAATAACTGCAGACAGCTAGTGTTAGTTACTGCACCCAGGAGTCAGGGAGGGTCAAAGTAGAATCAAATGTTCAGTCGACTGCGGGGGCTTTGATACCTCGTTACCAGACACAAAGCGAGAGCACAGATCAGGGTACAGAGTCGTTTTTCAGTCTGCGTTGGTCGTAGATGCAACTGTTAAATTCACCGTGCGACAGCCAGAGGCGGCTAGCCACCTGGAGTCATGACGGTGCCATAAACTGTGGCGCGCCAGAGTTTATGAGACTGTCGTGACTCAACAGCTAATGTTGCCAGCTTTCGCCTATGTTATCTTTTGATTAAAAGTAAACTTTCTGTGCAAATTGCAATAATTAAATTTTCACAATGCAGACATTTAATAAAGCCGGTAAAAGTGCAAGTTCAAGTTAATCGAATTAATTTGATTTATTACCCAGCCCCGCCCCATACAGTTAAACATCTAATAAAATAAATATGTCACACATGCTTTAGTGCTGAAACGTACCTCATTAACATTGATCTTTGATTTAGCTGAAGTCTCTAAAAAGGCACAGTTGTTCCACTGACGGGCCAGGTTCTGACCCTGCTCCTTCCCGACCACACGCTCATCCTCCAGGTCACACTTGTTTCCCACCAGGATCATGGGAACCTGATTGATTAACAGAAATGTCAAAAGGTTCAAGCCTGTTCAAACCGATATCTTGACTTATACAGCAGTAACACAGCCAAATATAAATCAATTGTGTCTACAACACAATTTTTCATCACCCACTATTGGTTCATCTTTACATCTTATGTTTTCGCAAAGTGAGACCTTAACCGAGTCGTACAGTCTAATCAACAGTTTGCTATGAATAAGTAAAGCACACACTCGGCATGTCGTATATCCTCGCTCTAAATTAAGAGATGAGGAAACCAAGACTGAAAGTGGCAGATAGCATCTAACAACAACTCTGACATTTCCACCGTGTCACAAAGTTCCTGCCCCCCCCCTTGGCGTTGCCCTCTCTCCCACAGAGCCGACTCTAATGAGGGAGTGATGAGTCTCAGAGGTGACACAGGAAGATTATACAGAGAAACACCAAAGGTTATCACTGAAGAGAATCTCTCCACACATAGAGAGTGTCATGTAGCACTGCAGTGCTGAGTGATTCAGACGGATTAAGCTATTTTAATACTTATTCATACAGTGAAATTTACTATTATTGCTGTCCAATGAAAAACATTTATCTTCAAATTTGTTGTTTTTTTAATTAGATAAGAGAGAGATAAGACTTCATTGATCCCTGAGGGCAAATACATGTTACAGCAGCACAGATGCAGGCTTAGAACTATTGGGGGAAAAAAAAAGAAATTAATTAAGTATAGAGGTGGCATGAAAAAGCTGTACACAATACATAAATTACAAACTCTCGCACTTTTTAAACAAAATAAACCATAAAAAAAAAAAAAAAAAAAACTTTAAATGTGTCATCACAAAGATGAAAACAATTTTTTCTTTTAACATTTTAAAAGAGTAACACTCACATCCTCAGTGTCCTTTACTCGCAAGATCTGTTCCCGGAGGTCCTGTAGGTCGTTAAATGTTGACTGCGCTGTAATGGAGTACACCAAAGCAAAGCCTTGGCCATTCTTCATGTACAGGTCCCTCATAGCTGTGAACTGTTCCTACAGAACAAAAAAAAGATGGACCAGACCGTCAGCCGCCTGTTTGTATTTATTTTGTAAGATCCCTTTATCTGAATTCTGTGTCTGACTTGACTTACTGTTCCAGCCGTGTCCAGGATTTCAAGCATACATTGCTGCCCGTCGACCTCGACTTGCTGTTGGAGAAAATAAAACGTTTTTACATGACAAGTGGATGGATTTAAATAGTCAGTCACTGACTTTCTTTGAAAAAGTTCAAAAAGACATGCAATGTTTAAATTGTGTTTCCGACCTTTCTGTAGGAATCTTCTATTGTGGGGTCATACTTCTCCACAAAAATGCCTTGCACAAACTGGACTGTCTGGAATGGACGAATGAAGCAAAGGAAAACATCAGACAACACATCAGTATTGATCAAAAAATGTCAAATTACCATGTAGCTTATTGCAAAAATAGTGGGACTAAAAATACAGCATGAAATGAACCATTTCATTCAAATATTCTCCTAAAATAAACACCTCGTCAACCTTCAACTTTAAGTTTCATTTGTGTTCTTGAAGCTGCCGAGCTCCAGACTCAGACTTATTGTCCTGCCTCAGCTTTTCTTAGTTTTTATGGCCTGTTGAAATATTAACTCCTGAACATTTTATTAGATAAACCTTCAAGCTCCAGAGGTGTCAGATGAGAAACAAAAAAAACATACTGGTCTGTTGATGATATATTGGAGGTCCAGAACACAACAAACTGTAACAATTACTGCCTTGAAAGAACATTTAAGACTTCTGTAAATAAAATTTGACTTTTTATATTTAATGGCCTTTTTTGAGAAATCAATTCTTTTTACGATTTTTCAAGACCTGTTGATACATTGTGTAAACATTCAAGAGATCTCAGAGATAACATAATGTTGTGTTAAACAGGTGATGGTTTTTGTAGGACTAGAAATCTGTCTACAGTTTTATAAAATATATATATATATTTTGTTTTTTTTTTACATTGCTTCATAATCACATCAATAATATCAATACTATATCATAAAAACTAAAAAGCCGTAATCAGTGTGTTGACTCATTTCGGTGCTGCTGCTGATGGCACCAGCCGTCACTCACCAGCGCTGATTTTCCCACGCCTCCTGATCCCAGCACCACTAGCTTGTACTCACGCATGGTGGGCAACTTCACTGGACAGCACAAGAATCTGTGAAAGTACAGAGGGAAGGATGATAATGTGAGACAGAGAGTAGCTTTGTCATTTTCAGCTACAGAAAAAAAAAGAAGCCAGCTAAATCTAGGCAAGTCATAACTTCTTCCAAATTACCCTGTGCCAAGGGAAATATCAGTAAGAATTACTTTAATAACCTGACTGAAATGATCACATCCCTCATTCATAATTCATCATAATAATATTTCGTTTTAAAAACAAGGTGCTAATAGCAATTTTTTGAGTAAAACTACCATAACATTGCTTTTAAACTGTCACAGACTGTCTTTTTGTAACCCAAGATGTTTTTCTGCAGGACACCAAAATCAGGAACTTCAACATCACCCACAATGTATACTGGAAATAGTAAACCTCTAAACTCAATTGGTGGCAGTGTGAACGCCCTATAGTACAGTGTCTACCACAATGAAAAATTGCTGCTGACATCAACAGATTAAAACGTAATTTCTCTGCCAAAAAATGAGCTCTCTCCCCCACCCACTACCATGGGACTTCAGTTGTCATGATGATAGGGGTGTTGCCTCTCTTAAAATAAATAAATAAAATAAAATAATCAAGAAGCACTGAAAGGAACTATAGCCCGGCTCCTTAGATCAAGGAAGAAAAACCAGTGTTTCACCTGGTAGGAACACTCAATAGTGAAGCGTATCCATGACAAAAGTCGACCCAAAAGACACTGTGAAGCTGTGGACACAAAAGTACAGTAGATAGTTGGTAGGTAAGAGTTCCAGTGCCACAAATAACTTAATCTCATTACAAAACGGAGGAGAAGGGCCATGGAGAATGACCTATCTTCAACTCCATCAGCCTGACACAGTTTAGACAGCGTACGTGGCCTAGAAAATACTGGCAGCATAAAGGACTGTCACAGACATGAAAATGTTGAGGATGAAGACAGGAGTTTTTTTTTTTCTAAAATCAGTTTGTGATCATCCAAAAATTCAGGGATTACCCAGTGAATATAAAGTGACAAAATCTTTGACTCTTCTGATTATTAGTATTATTATTATAATAAATGCATCATTAAGCCCTTGAGGAATACTATTCTTCTGTGGTGTCATTGTCCACAAACTACTTTATTTTATTCTAGTGTTTTGTTGGCTTGTGAATGATAAAAATGTGTGGAACAATAAGAAAATCACCACCTCACACTAATAATAGTGGTTTCATATGTGACAGATTATTTTCAGCAAAACTTGAGTATATCTTTCTGATTTCCTGTGCACTTTGATAGAGTTGACTTAAAGTGGATATGAAAGTTGAGTCTTTTGATCACAAAAATCTCCACAAGACAGATTGGGCAGGCAATAGTGACATAACAATACTCTTTACAAATATGTATAATAGCACACGTGGTGAAAAGTTTTAAAGTACTGCTTTTGAGGAGCTTTGTTTTAAATGCTATTCTGAAATGCAAATGTAATCTCCATTTGATATACAAATGTCAAAGAGGGGGTGATGCACAATAAAATCTCATTTAAGAACCTCTTTGAATCTGCTAATCACAATACATCTGTAGGACCTTTGTCAAATGTTGAGACAAACAATACAAAAACCACTCTTGTCACACTTGACCAGCATTTGCAATTCTAACTACGACATATGAAGCACCACCAGAAACCCACAGTGTGAGACAGGCACACGAGGCACTCTACAAAGAGCCATTGTAATGACCCTCGTCTATTCAAGTACACCATACAAACAGAAAATAGAGATCAGAGGGTGCATGCATGACCACTGCACTGAAATCATTACCAGTGCAAGGAGGTGCACCTAGGGGGAGGGGTAACACCAATGTGTACATGATACATTTGTTAGTCTGAAAATGTACGCAACAGCAAATCACACCATTTAAAATTTAATTTATGTGGGTGTCACAAAACTGGCCACATCTGATAAGAAACCTAAGCCTTCGGCTGATTAGATATGAGCTTGGACTCAAACATTTCAAGTATTAAGCACTCAAACTGAAACCTTCACCAATCCAACTTATTAATTTTTGCTGGCTTTGCTGATGAGTGCCTCTTTGTAAGGGGACCCCAATGCTAACAGCTAATTAACATTTCATGTCACATTTATGATGAAGTAGTAAAATATAAACAAATACCCACACCAATTTACAAATGCGCAAAGCCTTTCACAAAAGTGTACTTTGCACAAAATCTGTACAGTCAAACAAAAAGAGCTTAACCTACTGTGTACACGGCTGCTGCAGATGACAACTCCCTCTACATCTGGGGAGAAGGGGTGGGGGGGCAGCAGATCCTCAGGTACACTGATGTCAGCTAGCAGGTGATGTGGGTCGGTTGGGAGCCAGAAAGCACGTTTACACCAAACTGTTAAGACAGGAAATGGGCCTTGCATTAAACCAATTAAATATTTGTGTCAGCTCTATGCTATACTGACTTTGTTTAGATATGCAGACACAGGACAATAAGAAAAACAGGCAATTAGAAGAATCACTAACATCATCTGCTTAAGTTTTACATGTGTTGCACTGTGCGCAAAATCACAGGGTGAATTAATGATGACTTTTTGCCAGTTAAAGTGCTATGTGGGTCTACTTTATGGAGTCAGGAGGTGAGTTGTCACATGTTACATAACAAACAAAACTGTTAAAACGTATTCCTCCAAAGACCTGTTGCTCATCAACACAAAAACTACAAAATATATGTTGGTCTAAACTATTTATCTCAAAGTTAGTGTTTTTCAGCCTGATATGCTTAACGGGGTGACTCTCTACTTCACAGATTAGATCAACAAACAGAAAATCTTGCATCGAAAGAAAATGAGCGAATGGATTTAAACTCAACACAGGGGCACACATATACATCTGGTTGACGTCCTTTAACAAAACTTTTTGTAGCTTTGCATCTTGGGAGTAATGCATCTTTTGCATCTGATACATGAAATACAGATGAACTTACTTTCGTGACAACTTAAAGCGTAGTTGGTTTCGAAAGGAAGGGTGTGGCTATTAGTTTCCCAATGCAGTGGACTGTGACTGTTAAACCGTTCAAAATAATAAGATAAATTCGTCAGTATTAACGGGCCAACATAATATAAACATGAATTTATTTCAAGTTTGGGAGGTGGTAGCAAAAAGTAGCTCGATTAAGACTAAGCTTGACAACTCTTACGTTAGCATTCAGCTAGCAGCAACGTTGGGGCAATGCTAGCTAACGTTATAGGGTGTTAGCCTTGAAAAGAAACGGCGAGCTGTGCACAAACAGGCTACTAAGTTAACTAACGTGGCGTCGGCAGAGGAAAAAAGCTGAGCTCACAGTTTAACGTTACTTCTTATCAGACAAACAGTAAAGTCCATTTTAAGTTTCCGAAACAGTTTAGCGAACACCGGGAGCTAATAAGTTAGCTAGCCAGTTAGCATCAGGCTGGACTCTCAAACCTCCTTTTTTCAATTTCTTCTAACTTTTAAGCGTTAAGCATTTTAGTATGTGGATAACCTGCTATATATCCGAAGGCAAATGGTACACAACAGGAGATTAAATTAGTTGAACCACAAACTGAGTTTTCGTTAGTTAGTCATTAGCTGACGTTAGCTACTCATCTAGCCTGGAAGCTAAGCTATTTCACCCACAAAAATCACCCACTGGAGCCAGAAGTCGCTTTAGTGACTCATCGGAGGCACACAAATGTTCCGGGACTAATCGTTAGACTTATGAAGTCACAGGCTGAATAATTAGCTATCACATTGGTCCTTTTACAGAGGAGCAAAGCTTGAGAAGACACTCACCGTGTTCCGCGGTGTGTGCGCTAAATCTCACTGTGAATGTACGGAAGGGTCCGGGCAGCAGCCGGTGATTGGATCAGGATTAGCCTATCACAGCCAAACAGGTGAGGGCACACACTAAACTTATTCTTTTAGCCTCATCTCAATCTGTTTTTGTTACAGCCGCCAACAGAGCAGACAACTTTCTCACGTTCTCTATAAGTTATATCATCCAGTGCGCTCTTAAAAAGACCAATGAAGTGAGGCAAGGTCACTTTTTGCAGTGTTTACCAGTAATAATCGGTAGAGGAAAGTAACTATTGTGCTATTTGGTTATTGTCGTTATTATCGTTTCAAGCTTCTCAAATCGTAGTTGACTTTAAAACAATGCATAATATTTTCATACATATATTTCCATCACATGTTTTGTATATAAAAGCATCATTTATAAAGTAACTGCTAGCAAACAAATAAAGGTAGTGAGGTAAAAAGAACTGTTGGCTTCTGTGACAGTGAAAATCTTTCTTTCGATTTTTGAACTATTTCTTCAACAAAACAAGCAATTTGGGTTTGGAGAAATTATAATGCATCATATAAGACAATATATGCTTTGTTGGCAAAATCTTAACTACAAAGTAACTAAGAGTTGACAAATAAATGTAGTGAGGTAAAAAGAACTGTAGTGGAGTACAAGTAGTGGTGGCATCAAAATAAAAATGATCAAGTAGGGTTAGGGTTAAAGAGACCTGAGAGGTCACAAGATAAATTTGAGGGGGTGTGAGATGATTCAAGAGAGAGGAAAGAAGGAAAAGATAAAGTTCTCTTGCAGAAAATGTAGCTTTTTTTTTTCCAGAAGAGTATAGAAACATAATGGGTTTCTTCATTTTCCGAAATGTAGGACAAGCACCTCAGAGGTAAAAAAAAAAAAAGACTGTGGAGGAGAAGCCTGATCTTATATAAAGCGATTTGCATTTCCTGTTAACATTTCATACAATGGCATTTAGCATTTGCCATTTGTTTAAATTTGTATTCATATAGCTGAAGCATCTGATTACATCTCAAACATGACACTTGATTATCAAACACTCCAAGTAGAAAATAGACAGCAGACTGAGAGAAAGGGCCTTGTTTATGAAAAGTAGCACAGCTGCACTGAGGACTGGTGTTTGGCAGGTGATTTTTGAGGTGATGTTTGAAGTTGAATCCAGTAACACGTGCTTTGATGCACCCCCCATGTGACATAGAAAGTTGTTCAAGTTCTTGTGTTTGTTCATTTTGGCATTTAAAATTGCACTGAGATGGGATTTCCTTTCAGTCTATAACACAAGAAAACAGCAAGGTTGTTTTCTGATATCTACACAGTCTTACCATCTGATTTCAAGGTTGCTTGTTCTTATCCGTCACTCTGTACCGTAAGGGAGGCTTCTCATTGGTCCCATATTCTGATCGGTCCCATATTCATTCTGCAGCATGACTCACAATGACCCCAAATATACAGCCAGAGTGATAAAGAACTATCTTCAGAGTCAGAAAGAACCAGGAGTCCTGTAGCAGATGGTCTGGCCCCCACTGAGTCCTGATCTCAACATCATGGACTCAGTCTGGCATTACATGAAGAGATAGAAGACACAGAGAGAGAATAAATCCACAGAGGAACAACCTACCTGCTGTATCTTGACAACCTGTATAAGGAGAAGTAGTGCTGTTCTAAAAGCAAAGGATGGTCCCACCAAACACTGATATGCTATAGGTTGGATTATTTTTGAAAGCTCCCTCACTTTAAGTGCCTAAGACTTTTACACAGTACTATATGTTGTTTGAAACATCAGTCTGAGCTACCTCTGTTCCTGTTTCTTTGTATTTGTGGATGAAAATCATATGATCCTTGTTGCTGAATGGATTATAAAGCTGTATAAAACACTTGTGTAATGTGTGATGTTATCTCACTGCTAAATTGAAATACATGCACTTGCCATATGAACTGTATCTGTCTGAACTGGTAATCTGATAAGGCAGTACATATTTAACTTTCAGATCACATGCTGTGCAGACCCAGTGTCTGCTGGTAGTCAGTGGGCAAAATGAGGTGCTGCACTCAGCCCGACCTGCAGCTCTGCAGCTGTGGTCACTGTGGTGTGTTGTATGAGGTGAGGGCAGCAAACCTGAGTCACTTAACATCTGTCCTGCCAATGTTTTGCCAATCTTACAAATCAACATCACACTGAGGGAGTGGTGACCTCCCTGCCATAATGCCTTTCTCTTTGAGTTTACTCACCTGAGAGGTTCATGTGTACACAACACAGACTCAGTGAAGAACAATAAAAGTGATTCAGGGCCCTAATGGTAGGAGATGCAGAGCGAGTAGACGCCACACAAAAGTGAGTATCCTTTTCAATACAGAGGATTCAGAAACTTTAAACACACTCAGTTTTAAATTGCAAGCAGTCATATCATTTATTGATGTAACTAAACACCAATGTGTTCACTTTTTTTTCTTTTTTTCCTGTTCAAATTGTTATTCAGTTACAAAGTTATAACTCTGTGATAGAAGCCTTGTAATAATTTAATGTCTGTTCTTTTTTTTTTT